ATACAAAATACACGTGCTCCACGGATAAGTGGCGGCGATAATTAAGGCCTCACCAAGCTCTTAGCATGCATCAGCTCCTTTGTTTGCGCAGTGAGACAGGCCAGGACAGGTCCCTTGTTCTGTAATTATGCACCGGATTTTTCCTTTCTGGCGCGGACTGTCACTTCGCGGTGGCCAACTTCTGTATCCGCCTCAGGCCGGGACGGAACAGGGCGCCCTTTTTCGCTTGGCTTGGAAAATAGCGTACCAAACGAGAGGGCAATTATATCTCGACACTGACTTATTCATGGCCATGGGTCTTCGCGTCTTAATCATGTGCTGAAGATATTTAGCAAGCATTTGCGAGTGCCCACGTTTAAACAGCTCGTCAAATGCTACGGTCATATCGTGCATGCAAATACCACCATTTGAAAGGGCAGGTTTTATCAGTGTTGTATGAAGTTTCATAAAAAGTGGCAAAATGGAACTATGTTTGTTCGGTTTGCTGTTTACATCGATGTATTTCAAGACACCTTTCACCTTGATCACACCTTGACACCTTGATCACAAGACACCTCTGCCCTCGATCACTCCCAGTCGCCTGCAGCTACAATCTCATCGACCATTTCCATCCATCGGACACGCTGTGGCAACCTGAACCGGGCCGTCTTCAGCTGCTCAGTCGCCTTCTTGCGCCTCCCCCCTCCCCCCCCCCCCTCCCGTCAGCTGTGCCGCCGTTTCGGGACGGGGCCGCCCGCCCCAGCCCCACTGCATGCAGCGATACCTGCGCTCCGGCGCCGATCGCAGGCGCGCGCAGATCGCTTTACGCGCCCTATTTTTGGCGCGCGGCGGCCGCCGCTGGAATCCAGGCCAGCGCTGGAAGGCGTCTAAATCGGGCGCGGCGCCGGTGCTGACACCTGTCGGCTGGTTTCGGCGCGGCTGATGCTGCCCGGGGATGTTTGCTTATGCTGGGGCGAGAGAATAATGTCGGCTTGTGCCGTCACATAGCTGATGATCGCTCTGTCTTTTTCAGACAATGAGAACCAGTCGATTGATTACGTAAGTATCCGGCCCGGCCAAATTAGGGCTGAGCATTTTTGCTCAGAATGTTTGAGGGTATCCACTCATGGACAACCTTGTTGGTCAGTTTCGTGACCTCTGTCAGTGAAAGAACCTTTGTCCTGTCGGAAACGGCAGCTTGTTTACGCACGGTCTGTTTCATTTTGTACTGACCGGTAATTTCTATCTCCGTGCTTCCATAGAAGGGAAGGGAGAGTGGAAATGGCGTCCAGGGTGTGACAAGGTTGAGCTTATACCATGAGTGCCATACAAGTGACGCAAATAACCACCACTTTACAGGCTCAACTGAGGAGTCATCGAAGTCCGCCTGAAGCAGTTTTGCGTTGTAACCGATTCGGACCGGTTTTTACTTGGTTATCACGAGTGCAACGGATGAATTTGATTGAAAGAATCCATCTAGTGCTACCTGTGATCTGACTAAAGCAATGGCTGTCAGCGAGGGTCGCATGCGACTTTGACACGACTGCCATTAAGCACATACAGCTATGGCCAAAGGAAGCTGAAGTGATTATCCATAGAGACAATTGCCACTTTTCTGAAAATTGCCGACCTTCACCACGGCGGTCTCTTGTTCTGGAAAATTGCCGACCTTTAACACAGCGGTTTCCTGTTCTGGAAAATTGCCGACCTTCACCACAGCGGTCTCTTGTTCTGGAAAATTGCCGACCTTCGCCACAGCGGCCTCTTGTGGAAAATTGCCGCCCTTCACCCAGCGGTCTTTTGTTCTGGAAAATTGCCGACCTTCACCACAGCGGTCTCTTGTTCTGGAAAATTGCCGACCTTCACCACAGCGGACTCTTGTTCTGGAAAATTGCCGACCTTCACCACAGCGGCCTCTTGTTCTGGAAAATTGCCGACCTTCACCACAGCGGCCTCTTGTTCTGGAAACCGGCTTGCATCACCCACTCCGGGGTCAACTGACTCCCTTAAAACACCCGTCGCTGTTCAGCCGCCCCCCCCCCCCCCTCCTGCCTGCAACACTGGCGGAGGCCTTCCTCAATGTCGTGATACCACTCACACGACCGGCTGACCCACCAGGGGTGAGAGTGGCGCTGGCAAGACGGAGAACCAAAAAGGTCATCATGTACTTTGCGCGCATCGCCCCATCCGGCTTCAAGCAGAAGTTTGCTTGCGGCGTAAGTCCCGCTCTGGGCCAGACAAACACGCTCTCAGCTCGGCTGCTTGAGGCGCGCGTCAGCTGACGGCGTGTTCAGCTGGCGGCGCGGTCAGCTGGCGGCGCGGTCAGCTGGCGCCGGCGGCGCGGGGAGAGGCGGAGCGCGCGCGCGGCAGCTTCGGCGCACAGCGTGCTAATATGACGCCGGCGACTGTTGCATGCGTAAAGCACATTAACAGCGCACGGTGGCGCTCGCGTCGATCACAGCCCTCGACTGCGGTGCTGGAGCACATTCCGATGACGCACAAATGCGTACTTTACTGCTAAATTGTGGGCTAGGAGCGTTCACATGACTCTTTGTGACAGCCCCGCATTTCGGTCTCAGTTTTGCACAGCGTGAGCTCTTGTGCAAAATGATATTCACAGAGAAAACACTTAACATTAAACCTGTCAAAATCGTCCAGTTTGAGAGCTCGTGACGACTCGCGCTCCCCGGCGCCTGATGCTTTACCATGCCTCTCGCCGCCCAGCCTGGCCTCCACAGAGAGCCCCGGTCCCGACGTCCCATTCAACGAGGCCTCTCCCCACAGCGGCGAGTCGGGTGCAGGAAAGACCGAGAACACCAAGAAGGTAATCGCGTACTTTGCCAACGTCGGCGCCTCGGGCAAGAAGAAGGAGGAGGGCAAGGTGACCGGTGGCGCCGCCTGGCGTCGGCTGCGTGAATTATCGGCCGACGGCTCGGCCCGATCGTCCCCGCGTGCTCCCCTCCCCCTCCCCCTGACCCGTACACTGGCACAGGATAGCCGGCGCGTGACCCGCCCCGCGCTGTACCGGGAGGCGACAGCCCCTCGGACAAGGGGGCTGGGTGGTGGTGTTACCCTGCACGTGATGACGACCTTTCACGCCGGGAGAGTGGTGGTGAATGACAGGTTTGAGTCATATTTTCATCAGCGATATGCAACCGAAATGAGCTTTTATATCGTGCGATTGCAAAACGAAGTAAAAAAGATTCGGCTTTATTCGCTTGACACTGAGAAGCCCCGTTGCCTTACGCAGTTTCCAGACGGGCATTTAAAATGCAGTTTAAACTGCGTCTGCAGTTATCCAGACGGGTATTTAAACTACATTTCATCACCAACCGACGCCCGGGGGGGAGGAGCGGCTGGCCGGCTGACCTGGCCTCTGCGCGTGACCCCAGAGCCGCGAGACCGGCCTGCGCCGTGGCATGCCACCCAAGCCACTCCGAGTGACCCTCGCGTGTCCCGGTGCCACTCCCCAACTCCCAGCTACGGGACTGCACTGTCTGCCGGGTCTGAACCCTGGTCGGTGACCAGGGGCATGTGAATCAGTCTAGAGGCGGACTGCGGGAGACTGAATCTTCCGCCCCCCCCTCCCCCTCCCCTCCGCCCCTTGTGACAGGCTGGAGCGAACGTCTTCGCCTCATCTCCAAACGTGTCCGGGAGCGCCTTCACGTTCCGTCACGTCTTCACGTTTCACGTCTTCACGTCTGTCACGTCTGTCACCCCGGTGTCCCGCATGCATGTCCCATGTAGATGACGGTGGCGGCGGAATGTGAGCGGGAACAGTCATGTCATGATGTGACGTCATGATGGCATGTCCTGCTATGACGTCATGATGCCGCATTGCGTCAAGCTGCTCTGAATTAACATGGCTGCGCCCCTCTGCATGCTGTCTAACAAGGCAATCGCTAGTTTTCCAGTGGTTCTGTAAGCGCGCGGAGTAGAGACTCCCTTTGTAAGAGTCTCTAGTTTGTTAGGCCAGAGTGGTGTGGTCAAGGAAAAGTAATTTACTGGGATCTGTCTCTCCGTTTCGTGAGTTATTGCTGCTTGATCACTTGCAGATGTGCAGAGCGTGATGTGTCCATTGTAAAACTGGATTAGACCTGCCGCACTCTCCGCATCAATAAGCTCTATTCAGCCGGTATTTTGACCATACCTTGTGACTGCTGCCATCAGACCCCAGTCTCGCTCGAACCGCGATCGCTACCTTGAACCCGCGCGGGGCAACCTGGATGATGGGCTAGCCTGGGTAGCCTGGATAGCAGGGTAGCCTGGATGCAGGACCAAGCCGATGTGTTCGCCGCCGCCACTAAGCACACTCTGGGTGGACACAGGGTAACCTGAGGACCAGGGTCGTCCAGACCAACCCGGTGCTGGAGGCCTTCGGCAACGCTAAGACAGTCCGCAAACGACAACAGCTCCCGCTTCGTGAGTTGCTGCCTCCACCTTGGACCCGAAGATGACGGGGATGGCTGTAAAGAGGGACGTTCTTCAGCTCCTGTTGGGGACCGTGGCATGAAACGGACACTCCAGGGTCGATCGCATAACGCTTTTGGAATGCCTTATTAAAGCCGTTTTGGATAGTTGGTAGTCCTGTACAGAGCTTGGGAGTAGCTATAGAACCATGCAAGTGCGCATCATGATCTTCATGGTCTAGTATACGTTTTCGAGATAAAAATAACAGTTCTGATAGATTGTGTGAAACGACAACGGTTTTTAATAAGATAATTTCCGGATGCATGCATCATGATAATATATGTTCTTGAATTCTCACTCTGTACGGAGCAGTCCATGTAACTGGATTTGGAGGAGCCTTCTATAAAGGACGAGTCCATTTTCAAATGTGGGAATTTCCCCACATGTTCACCCCCGCTCCACCCACCAACCGCTTTCTCTGAGGCGGACTCGTCTGCGTCAAACGGATACCACGCAACACCGACACTCTGCTCCAGGGTAATTCATCCGCATCCACTTCGGGCCGGCCGGCAAGCTGGCGGGCGCCGACATCGAGACCTACCTGCCTAGAGAAGGCTCGCGTCATCTCGCAGCAGCCCAACGAGCGCTCCTACCACATGTTCTACCAGATCATGTCGGGTGCCATTTCCGGCCTCAAGGGTGAGCACACCGCCGCAGGCGACGTTCGCCTCTCAGGCGTTTGGCTGTGGCTTTGGTTTGGTTTGGCTGTGGCGGGCCACTATCCCCGGGTCGGGTGGGAGCCTTGTGAATCGGTTTGCTGGAGGAGGTCACGTGATTCTCGGTAGAGCGTGAGGCTGGTGGCGAATGTTGGTGTGTCATCGACCTCATCGGAGGAAGTGGGCGTGATACTTATTCGCTTTCAGGAATTGTTGATGCCGGATATTTACGCTGATACATGCTTGATTTACCTCTGGCGTTCACAGAAAACGAATTGGAGCATCGCCCATGGACCTGCACTGACTATTCGATAACCGCTACACAACCGCGGCCTTGTTTCGCAGTTCCTGTTTCGCATATGGTGTTCCTTCGTCAGAATTTTGGCACACAATGATAGTCGTCTTCAACTAAGCATTGGCTATCACCAGAATTGTAAATATCCATCGCTGCCAACCACATGCTATTGCCGCAACCCGAGCCTGCGCGCTGTCTCCGCCTGGGAGCTCAGGCCAGCAGCGCTGCCGACGTGTGCGAATGCGCCGATAACGCCGCCATTTCGCGGCAGCCATGTTGCTCCTGACCAACAAGATCACAGATTACAACTTCGTTAGCCAGGGCAAAACGACCATCCCGGGCGTGGACGACGCTGAGGAGATGACGATGACAGACGTGAGTGCTAACCGAACAGCGAATCTTTTCAGCCGCCTGCCGCCGCTGACTGTGGCTGCCCACCGCCAGGGGCGCTGCTGTTGCCTGCGCCGCACTAGCATGAACCATCGCACTCCTCATCCGTTCCCCCCTCTCTGCCCGCAGAGCTGATCTGCACGAGGGTGTCCAGAGCCATTCTGGTGATCCTGGTTAAAGTTTGACTTGAAACGATGGATACATTTACATTACATTTCATTGATTACGGGACGCATGACGGTATGGTCGTCGGCACACCGATCTGAAACGCATGGCGTTTCAGCAGTTCTGATATTTCATGAAAGCTACATTAGTATGCTGATGTAGACGATTCATGCATACAAAGTGCCCAAAATTGCAAACCAAAATTTACCCCTTTGTGCCCTCATACAGGAATTCGACTCCTGCTTCTGCGTCGATCCCGAGTTACGTCACACGCTCACCGTCCTTCGCTTCCCTTCGGGCTGTCGCCAGCTGACCGCGCAACACGTGACATTTCTCTGTAACCATGGTAACACCCTGCGGTTTGTTCGTCTCCTGCAGACAAGCTTTACCTCAGCGACAACATAAAAGACTACCATTACGTCTCCCAGGGTAAAACCACCATCCCTAACGTCGATGACAAGGAGGAGATGCAGCTTACCGATGTAAGGCGTTTGACCCTTTGACCCTGCTCGTCAGGGGCGGTATGGTGACCCCTGCCGACCCCTTCTCTGTCTCAGACCTGGTCCGGCATGAGGAATCCCGGCCTGATCTCCTGCCCACTATCCCATCTTTAGCTCTATTCAAAGCCATTATGTCCCTTCAGTTTGATTTGTGTTTTCAGGTTACTCCGGCTTTCTTGTGCTTTTCACCATGGACCCGAATTTTCATTTGTCTTCGCATCCAAATATCCATGCTTTCTACGACTCAGATTATATCACAATTCGTGCCACGTCCCTTTCCTAATGTAGCGACTTGCTTGCACAATCATCCTAAAGTCTCGATAATTGAATAATTATTCCCAATCACCTTTCCCATGAATTGACCGTGCTTCCGTTTGGAAATACCATCAAACGCCCAAAAATGGTGCCTGCTTTCCGCTTCGCGCATGCTGTCCGCTTAGTGCATCTCTGCCCCCCCCCCCCCTCAATATTTCGCTTTGCTGTGTGAAAAACCACCGACCAAAACAAAGCGACTTCGCGGAACCCCCTCCACGGCATGACACTGGATGCCGAATCCACGAGAGATTCTATGAATCCCTGGATGGAAGTGACCTTGGGCGTCAAGCAAGAGGTTAGCTCACTTCCCTATTGTAATACTAGCGGTGGTGCTGGCATGCAGCGCCACGCATGCCGGTCGAATGCTTTTGACAGGTTGCTCCGACGGGGGACAGGAATATCCACAGTGGAAGATCGTGCGACAGTAGCTGATTGGGTGTGACTTGGCAAGAGAGGAAGAGGAGTCACTAAATGAAAGGCTTTGCCTTGAAAAGCAAGCGCTCTGGTTCTTTATCCAAACAGGTGGACATTGAAGTATAATGGCTCATTATAAAAAACTCTGGGCCATGGATGCCATTTTGTAAAACATTTAGGCCACCAGAGACAACCGACACATGCAGACAAACGACAATTTACTTGATTAGCTGTAGGTTTTGAAATGAAGATATGTTTGCATTTATGCACAGGGATTTTACAGCACAGGTCTTCTCAGGGGAAGATACAGCTTGAACTAGCCACAGATACCGCAGTGGTACTAGTCGAGCTTGAGTTCGTTCGGGCGTCACCCTGTGGCGTCGCCTTGCCGGCTTCTTAGACCAAGGTCATGCAGTGAGAAGAGAGGCTCCCGTCCGCTGCGCCATCGTCTCCGGCATCGTCGCCATCGTCGCCCACAGGCTTGCCCAGACGCCCGCTACTTCTTCCTGTTCTCTGTGAAGCCGGCGCGGGGAACGCGCCGCCTCACGTCCGCGTCACGTTCTGTGGGCGTGACGGCTGGCTGCGTGACTGTGACGTCTTGTTCGTGTGCCTCCCACGCCGCCCGAGAACCGGCGGCGGGCAGAGTGACGGCCCGTGCCGTCTCCGTGCTCGTGTGTGTGTTCTGGTCCGTCCGACGCCACCCCATCAGACCTCGCCAGGGCCCACGGCCCCCCGAGCCGACCGAAATACCCGGCGCTAGTAGACTGTGCCGCCCGACGAAACCCTATCGTGCGGCGCAGTCTACGGCTGCAGGGACTAGTCAGGGAGGCTGAATTGGTATTTTGCTCCGAACAGTGGCATGCAAATCAACGAAATGGAAAGACAGCATTCATGGAATGAATATGCCACTGGCCGTAAAATGCCACTGGCGGGGGGCGTGGGGTATGGCGAGGCGTATCGAGATCGTGTTACGTCTTCGTGTTTCCCTTCGTGATTGTCCTGCGTGTTAGTTATTGCACTAGGCTTGCTTTCGAATCTTCTTTATATGTAAGTGCAGTCATTCTTTGAAAATGATTGGTTGTCATAACCTGAAGCACGGAGGGATCATTGAAAGGTGAAGGCTCCCTTCATTACACTGGTTTCACGTCATCGGAAAGGGAAAATATGGTTTGAAATCCAAAGCGATGTCGTCCGTCGATTTTTGGAAAATTTCATGAAAATTTCTTTACAAATTGCAAAAAGGCATAAATGTGCGACTGATTTTGCATCGAAAGCAGGCCTTGTTTGTAGCTATCTCACAAGGAACGGCGCAGCCACCAGCGACCGTGTTCATGTATGAGACAAAGGTGCAAATTGCAGTGGTGCACATACCCAACAGCACTGGTGCCCACCATTAGCGTGAGAGCGCTTGGTGCGGGCAGACAGTCCCGATCCGCAAACAGGCTGGGCTGAGTCAGTTGATGACTTCACCACAACAAAACCAGGGTATGAGCTGCCATTTGCACCTCTGTCTGCTTCCCGTGTCCTCGTGACCTAGGCAACAGTCACTCATAACCACGGCTGACCCGGCCGGCGACGTAACCCTGCCGAACGTGCCTCGTCCACGTCCGACTCACTAGCCGCCCATAACTCGGCAGACATGCTCGGCTTGACGTCCAGCATCCGGGTGTACCGGTCGTCTCGCAGGGCAAAACCCACCATCCCTGCGTCGACGATGGCGAGATGATGCAGGAGACGGATGTGAGTGCACGAACCGCCGGGCTGGGGCGGTCTGATTTGGCATCTGTTCTATATGCGGGGGCGATTAAGTGCGATTAAGTGCGATTAAGATGAATGCGGCACAGGTAGCGTCAATGCAGACGGGGGTTTGAGAAGCGTATGAAATGCCTCATGAAGATTTTGTGAAAAGATGTTTGTGTAAACAAAACGAGATGTGTAATGTACTTTCATGAGCCTCCAGTGGTTGTACTTCTGATGCCTCGTCATGGCTGTCTTACGTGGATGTTCTAAAACATAACATCATGATTGTACAATCCTCGGCGTCAATGCTTATGGATAGTGACTGAAATCTTCAGCGTTTTCTGTTCGTAGTCAGACTGTCGCAACGTTGAGCGCTGTATGACATACGAGTTTGCATATGCTGCACATATAGCTTCATCTGTTTCGAGGGTTCCTTCAGAAAACACGCTCGAAAATTGCTTCAAAGCGCCAGATCAGCTAGATCGAAACAAATACCCAGCTTACAAGTTTTTCCTTCGTGATTGTTTTGATATCATTGGTTGATACGTTAAACTTACAGAGAAAAATGCATACACCAGGCAGATATAACTGGAATGATACTTGAACCTAAACCTAGGACCTAAGCAATCGGTACAAAAAACTAATCATGAATCGACCAACGCGATGCATTACTGTCTACATAGCCAGTTCTCTTCCGCACCTCAGCTGTGAACATGATTTGACCGATGCGATGCATTGGTGCTAACACGGCCAGTTCTCTTCCGTACCTCAGCTGTGAACATTATTTAACCAGTGCCACGCATCATTCTTCGCATGGCCAGTTCTCTTTCGTACCTCAGCTGTGAACATAATTTGGCCGATGCCACGCATTGGTGTTCACATGGCCAGTTCTCTTTCGTACCTCAGCTGTGAACATAATTTGGCCGATGCCACGCATTGGTGTTCACATGGCCAGTTCTCTTTCGTACCTCAGCTGTGAACATTATTTAACCGATGCCACGCATCAGTGTTCACATGGCCAGTTCTCTTTCGTACCTCAGCTGTGAACATAATTTGGCCGATGCCACGCATCAGTGTTCACATGGCCAGTTCCCTTTCGTACCTCAGCTGTGAACATAATCTGACCGATGCCACGCATCAGTGTTCACATGGCCAGTTCTCTTTCTTAGAAAAGCAAACAGCACCACAGTAAGGAACAGAGCCGATGTGAGCGGCCTGTCTCTGGGCTGATGAGTTCTCATCTCCGTGAGCGGTCCCGGGTCCACCCTGTCGTCCACAGTGGACAGTGGACGCCGCACCAGTCCAACACCGGGGATGGGCTCCGCATGTGCATGTTCGCCTGCAGCAGCTGCCTCTGAGACGGGGCCAGCTGTGTCGTCTGCTGATCGCTCGCTGGGCCTCACCCCTTCTGTCCTGTCCCCCTGCTCCGAGGGGAGCAGCTGCTCACGTCAACATATTGACTGGCGATGATGCCAGTTTGACCTAGCTTGTGGTATCAGTAAGCTTTCAGCTAAAGTTTGGACAGTCACGTCAGATCTCGGAACATTTTTTACATGCTTCTGATCCGTTAGCTGTTAATTTTTATTCAACGTTACACTGCTCATCCCTGTTGAGCTCAATGTGTTTATGCACCTCAGCGGGCTTTTTCGCCAGCTGTATATTTGCGTTTATATGCATGTCTGTATTCGCTATCATCGCTTTCTTCAAGGCCGTAGCCGGGTATAACCCATGGGATATTTCGGACCAACGTACATAAGAGCATGATGCAAAATTGTAGTGTGTCTGCAGCACAGCCATGTCCAAACTGTGGCGAACTTGGCTTCCAGTTTTGTGCTCTAAGCAGCACCACACTGAAAGCGTCTTTCGCCAGTTGACAAGCCTGTAACGGCTTGTGTTCACCAGCCGCTCCGACTCGTTCGTCGGCCCAATTCGTGCTATTTGCCTCGGCAAAATCCGGGACCCCGTTCGGCTTCGCTGCCCGGCTACGGCTTTGCGCGCCCCGGGGCGCTGTTTCACGGTCGAGGCCGCGCCGCCGCCGCCATTTTGTGCAGGAGGCGTTCGACATCCTGCAATTCACGGCCGAAGAGAAGCTGGACATCTACAAGATCACGGCGTGTGTGATGCACCTGGGCGAGATGAAGTTCAAACAGAAGGGTCGCGAGGAGCAGGCTGAGGCTGACGGCAGCGCGGTACGTGAACAAAATGGCGGCCGGCCTTCGGCCGCATGGTGCTGACCCGTCGTGTCGCGCGTCCTCAGGAGTCGTTCGACATCCTCGGCTTTAACCAGGAGGAGAAAGATAACATTTATAAGATTGTGGCTTCGGTGATGCACCTGAGCACGCTCAAGTTCAAGCAGCGCGGTCGCGAGGAGCAGGCTGAGGCCGACGGCAAGGATGTAAGATCGGCCACCATTGGTGTCGCAGCTGCTGCCACCTGTCGGCCTGCGCACGAGCGACGCCATCTTTATTTCAGCGGTTCCGGAGCTTGCTGGCTGCCCGGAGCCTTTTTCGCTGCTGTTTTATGCCGCGTTGGGGTGATGTGTTCGCAGAACATGGTTGCTGCGTTTCCACTGGCCTCGGAATATGCAAGCACAACGCTTCTAACTTTACTTCAGATAAATAAAATGCATTGCGTGATGACGTCATGAATTTCTGGCACATTTTGCCAACGCATTGAAGAGGCCAGTGGAAACGTTTACTTTTGTTGCCTCCGTATCTAGGCAACCGCATTGCTGTACATCTCGATATGCATCGCCAGTGACCGTAACTACTCGAACTATCTCTCTTCACTAACAGTTATGCAGCTGTCTAAAAACGAAGCTTGCATTGAGCACCACTAGCAACTCACGATTTGCCAACTTCTAATCCACCAAACGTTTTCCATACTAACTTGACGGACCGTTTTCCCCGGTACCCCTCATGTTACCAGGCAGGTGGTCTGGCAACGATAGTGTTTCGGAACTTCAGTCTGCACGTTTCTCGCACGACCCAGCAGCATGAAATCGCCTCCGTTGATTCGAGTTTGCAACGTCACCCGAATTACGCCCGATTCAAGTCCTCCAAAGCTGGGACCAAGTGTCACCCTGTCGAGTTTCCGATGTTCTCCACCGCACGGCGCTGGCGCCAGTGTCGCTGACGACCGGCGTTACCTACCACGACCGTGGCAGGCCCTCAGACCCCGCCCCCACCCGACCTGAGGTCACCCCGAAGGGCTCCTCCTGACAGGGCCGACTAACCGATCCCTCCTGCCCCCGTGACGTGACACCCCACCGCTGACGTCACTGACGTTCGCCGTGACGTCACAGGAGGGTGACCGTGTCGCCAAGCTGGTCGGAGTTGAGGGGCCCCAGCTCTACTTGAACCTGCTCAAGCCCAAGATCAAGGTCGGCAACGAGTTTGTGACTCAAGGTCGCAACAAGGACCAGGTGAGTGTGACTCAGGGTCGCAACAAGGGCCAGGTGAGTGTGACTCAGGGTCGCAACAAGGACCAGGTGAGTGTGACACGCCGTCCGGCGGAACGGACCAATCAAACTGCGCCACGTTTGTGACGCGGGTGGTTAAGCAAAGGGCGGGCTGCTCCACGCAACACCGCTAGCGGCCAAATTGATCATAAGCCGAAATCCCGCGAAAAGATCGCAGAAGGGGCTGTCGTAGCCGATCTCGATTTGAGTCCTGTTTGACGCTCTTATCGGATTTTGCTGGCTCCTCTGGAGTCTCTCGATTGTGTTTACAGTCGTATGTTCCGGATACATCCCTGACGCATGTCCTATGTGTCTGTCTCGTTCAGTGTGTCTGACCGTCTGGAGCGTTCACCAGGTCTACTATTCGGTGGGCGCGCTGGCCAAGGCCATGTACGACCGCATGTTCAAGTGGTTGGTGAAGAAGGTGAACCTGACTCTGGACACCAAGCAGAAGCGGCACCGCTTCATCGGCGTGCTCGACATTGCCGGCTTCGAAATCTTCGACGTGAGTATGACGACCGGCGTGGCGTGCGACCTGGACAGAAATCTTCAGAAGTCTTCAGAAATCTCTAAATATGTGGGGGTTTGAGACAAGGGGGTCATTAGTGTGTCGCCATAATTTGGTTTGCGTCTGTTGAGTAGTTATCCTGCTCGTGCGATGGTGTTGTGCCTGAACTAGCGTCTGTCAGCTGTAGCGATGGAGAGATAGGATTCTTCAATTCCAATTGCTCACGTTCCGTCCGTAGGCTGTGCGTAATCGTTGCCTTAAGATCGCATATTAAATAGTGATTAGACGTGTAGGAGAATGATGTTGACGTCACTCTAACACATTCGTCGCTTCCTCAGCTTTCTCCGCTCGCGGTTCCGCCGACAACGATCGATATGTAGCAAAACTCGTGGCCCTTCACAGGCCACTCGGCAGACGTCCAGTCATGATTCGAATCCTCTCACCAGGCCTACTGCGATGGCGGCTTGATGGTGCATCCCCGTGCCCTAGCTCAGTTGTAAACTTGACACCCCGATGTCCTACCAGTTCAACGGATTCGAGCAGCTCTGCATCAACTTCACCAACGAGAAGCTGCAGCAGTTCTTTAACCACCACATGTTCGTACTCGAGCAAGAAGAGTACAAACGCGAGGGTATCGACTGGGTGTTTGTCGACTTCGGAATGGACCTGCAAGCCTGTATTGAGTTGATGGAGAAGGTAACCTCCACCCCCGTGTGCCCGCCCCCCCCCCTCCACTCGAATGACCCCGAGTGACCCCTGGTGACCCTTGCGTGACCTCATGGTGTCCGGACGCGGGACACAGATCCCGACGTCACACTGTTACAGGAGCGGCATGTGCTGGACGGCCCTGCATGCTTACGGAGCTACGCATGCCCCCCCCCCCCCCCTCCAGCTGTGGAGACCCTGCCCCCCCCCCCCCATACCGCCCACCGAGACTTGGGCCGATGTGAATACCCCCACGTGAAGGCGCCCTGCTGGTGGCACCAGCTAGTGGCTGCGGTTCGGCGCCTGGGAGAGCATCACCAGCCAACGTTCGTTTCTAGTTCAACGGCTTCGAACAGCTGTGTATCAACTTCACCAACGAGAAGCTGCAGCAGTTCTTTAACCACCACATGTTTGTGCTCGAACAAGAGGAGTACCAGCGGGAGGGCATCGAGTGGGTGTTCATGGACTTCGGCATGGACCTGCAGGCCTGTATTGACCTCATGGAGAAGGTAACCTATCGACTGGGATCTCCTGCTGCTACTGCTGCTGCCGCCGCTGCCGCTGCAGGGCTTTGATGAAGCTTCAGCTGCTGCCCGTTTCTTTGCTCTTGCCAGTTTCCTCCATTGGATCAGGCTGCTCGGCACATGGGTTCTTGGCGGCGCAGATAGCTGTGGAAACGAACGCTTCTCATCCATGTTACGAGTGGTAAATGTTCCCATTTTTGACGCACAACTCCCTCGTAACGACTGCTACATTTTTCCCTGCCGATGCAGGCTCATATTGAGCGTTCTTGAGAGGCGATCGTTTCCACATCACAGCGCGTCATACAGTCTCTTCGGTCTAGCAGCTGACTGCCGTTCTGAGGGGCAGCTGTTTCGTCGTAAGTCCAGCCGGCAACGGGCGCTGGCATTGCGCCTCAGGAAGCCTTCGTCCCCGGCGTCGCTTCTTCCCCCCCCCCCCCCCCCCGGCAGGCGCCACTCTGTGGACGACCAGAGTGTCCTGCATTGCCCCCCGCCCCTCAGAGACACCCCGGACGGGGTGTGCGTGGGTTTGTCTCCCTTCCACGTGCTATTCCCCGTCTGCTGAGACGGACGGAGGCCCCGAACCACCCTGACCTCAGCGCCACTGCTGAGGTCAAACCTCAGCGGTACTCTGACCTCAGCTACAGCTACCCATCGCTGACATCAGCTGGGCGCTCTGCCCAGCTGATGGAGCACCATACGGGCAGGACAGGGCTCTCACTTTCCGTACTGTTCTCTTCTTCTAGTTCAACGGCTTCGAACAGCTGTGTATCAATTTCACCAACGAGAAGCTGCAGCAGTTCTTTAACCACCACATGTTCATACTCGAACAAGAGGAGTATAAACGGGAGGGCATTAACTGGAAGTTTGTCGACTTTGGTATGGATCTGCAGGCGTGTATTGATCTCATGGAGAAGGTAAACAGAGAACAAAATGAGATGCTACACTGTCCGTCTGCATGAGAACTGATGGCATCGGTTCGGTCCTCTGGAATAACAGCCTAGGGAGTGATACAGACGTCCTAGTTGAACAACACCTTAGGAAGTGATACAGACGTCCTAGTCGAACAACACCTTAGTATAGCGGATGGACACCTGTTCAGTCCTAGATTAGCAGTAAACACTGATTGTGTCGTCTAAAGATGTCCATACCGTGAACTGCATAAACTGTCGGTGTCTGGATAACCTCTTGTGGCGCGGTGGATAAGGAAGCAAGGTAGGTCGTGGTCGTCGGCAGTTGGGGTGTCGATTTACCACAACGGCGTGAAGCGTGAGGGCAGTGGTCTCACCAGCATCGGAATGAAGGAAGTCAGAAGCGAATGCAGTCAAACTGGTCGAACGAGCCAAGTCGGCCCAACAGCTACACCGCTGCTGGATAGAGCATGAGACCAGCTCAACTGAATACATTCCATTCAACTATTCCTAAATGCAATCCGTCCAAGAAATGCCTTACCAAAGCGCATGTATGCAGGCATTTTCATCGACGGTCAGCGCCGCCGCTGAAAGGAATTATCTGGCCTTTCCTGCCTTCCCCGGTGTACCCAAACTTCTGTTTCCTGACGAGCCGAAGAACTTTGAGACTCCTCTTGATACCGAGGATGCTGTGTTGTTCGGGCTGGTGCTGTGAGACAGCTGAAGCCTTGACCAAACCTCTACCGAGGAGTCGAAGACTGGAACTGTCGCTATCAAGCCTCTCGGCCTTAGACCAGTGTCCGGCACACTTGTCACCAAGCGGGCCACCTGTCTGCTGCAGCCTCCGGACAAGCAGCAGACCGACCATCAACTGCTGCCTCACAGAAGTCTTTAGAACTCAGCTGCCTCCTACACCCCGCATGAATCCAAGCACGATCGCGACAGCCATCAGTAAGGCGATTGCTGATCTGGTTCTGTACGTTGCCAGTCCATCGATAACACTCACCACCGCTGTACAACGGTGGCCCCAGTGCACGCCCCCCCCCCCCCCAGCGGAGCACGTGAGCTGCAGTTCGCAGTCCGCATCGTGTTCGTGCCAGCATGCTCGGCTCAGGAAACCGGCGCCGTTTGCGTAGCTGTAAATAAAGGACGCTGGCTCACCGGGACAGCCCGCGTCCGCCAGAGGGAGGCACGCGTCCACGACCAGCATGAACCCTCCATCAGCCGTGTCTCGACCGGCTTGCCTGCACGTGTGGACATGCGTGACCTGTTCGCCGAGACCGCCCTGAACAGCGGATTGCCCCCTCATTTCCCCTCGTGCGGTGACTGCCATCGTGGTCGCAGCGAGTGCTGTAAGTGACCATGTCAGAAAGGTTTGGTCTGACATCCCTGCCCCGCATGTCTGTGTGAATTTCAATCTCCTAAAACTTCAGTCCCCATCTGCACGCGAGTGTATTACGCGCCCCTCCCTCACCTACACGCGTTTGTACCACGTGTGCACCCGTTCCCTGGCCCGGAAGCCGCACAGAACTGCGGTCCGCCTGCCCAGCTGCCCGGATGATCACGGCATGCGATCTGGTCCGTCCCGAGTGCCCCCACTCTTGAAACGAAGTCAAGAGGCGACCCGCCCTCGCCCGGCGTGTGCACTAACACCCCAGATCCTTCCCGCAGCTCAACAACTTTGAACAGCTGTGCATCAACTACACCAACGAGAAGCTTCAGCAGTTCTTCAACCACCACATGTTCGTGCTGGAGCAGGAGGAGTACCAGCGCGAGGGTCTTCAATGGACCTTCATCGACTTCGGCCTCGACCTGCAAGCTTGTATTGACCTGATCGAGCGGGTACTGTCTCAGGCTGAGCGCAGGCGAACAGTCTCTGACATGATGCTGCGCCAGCTTACGCGCTGCGCGGCTACACGTGCTGCGGTATAAGCGCAGCCCGACGCGATGTCAAGGATCGTACTCAGCTCGGCCAGGCTTCGGGTGGCTACGCGAGGATGTTCGCTTCTTGGCTAAGCTGATTCCATCGCACATCATTGGTTCGGGCTTCGCTGAGTCCGAAGCTTCTTTCCTCGGGAGAGTCGGGGGAGCTTTGAGAACCCCATCCACTGCACGATTCTCGGTTACGCCTGGTAGCAACTAGACTAACGCTTTCTGTCTACCAGCCTGCATGTCCCGCCGAAAAGTTCATTAAACTAAGCCATGGAGCGTTGGCACTACGCCGGCGTTCTAAATCTTCGCATCTAAATGGACTGGATTGCCTCGATGGCTGGACGTTTCGTGCTTCTCGGTAATTGGCTAAAATCATGGTGTAGCTTGCGACCTTTGAAATATTTTGCATTCACAACCCTAAACACATTAGTGGTGCATATTTGAACGCAAGGTAAGCCTTCTGTTCCGCAAGCTAGCTCGTATACACGTCAAACAGGACAACCTCTGCGTCGGTTGAGAAAACCAAGAGATGTTAAACGTTAGCGTACTACGATGCCCATCATCGCAAAATCTCTTGAGGGAGACATGCCTTGATTTTGCGTGCGTCGTTGTGAGCCAACCATGCCTGCGCATCGGCGCTTCCGGCGGTGACGATGCCACGCGGCGGAGATCCGCGTCCACACTTCTGTCACCGCTTCCCGCAGCCGATGGGAGTGCTCTCGCTGCTCGAGGAAGAGAGCATGTTCCCCAAGGCCACCGACAAGACGTTCGAGGAGAAGCTGAAGAACAACCACCTGGGCAAGTCGTCCTGCTTCATCAAGCCCAGGCCCCCCAAGCAGGGCCAGGCGGAGGCCCACTTCGCCATCGTCCATTATGCCGGCACGGTCAGTCCGCAGGGCTGCTCCCCGCCGGGTGTGGGGAGCTGTCTGTCGGTCTGCTCAGCCTGCATGCCTGGGATGGGGACTGACATGACGGAACCACTGTTGGGACTCACTTATCAACCACAGACCCGCTGACCGCGGTCTTCAACCGCAACGGTTGTGCGCGCGGAAGGGGAGCTTTGGGGCGGTGCTGGGAGCAAGTGAGACTCGGCTGTTGACTTTTCTTTCTGGTTAAAAACATGACATCAAACTTGGGAGCGGGCTTTGATGTTTTGTTACATGTACGGTCTCTTGTACTATTTTGACCTCGACTGTCGCGAGCAGCGGTTTTGCCTGGGTTGACCCGCCCTGAGCCGACTTCTCACAAACTATGTCGTGGACATGTCACCAAGCTGAACTTCTCCAACTCACGATAGGTGGCGTACAACCTGATCGGCTGGCTGGAGAAGAACAAGGACCCGCTGAACGACACCGTGGTGGACCAGTTCAAGAAGGGTGCCAACGCGCTGGCCGTGGCCATCTTCGCCGACCATCCGGGACAGTCGGGCGGCAAGGACGAGAGCGGCGGCAAGGGTGAGCAATCGCCCTTATAGATGACAACGTGAGCCCGCGGAGGGATGATTACGGTCGGGCTTTAAGGTTCACCGAGAGATGGCAGTGCGTACGATTACATTTATACACTGGTGGAGGCTCGTACTGAAGCGCTTGGTTCATTACGCAGCGCAAACCATTTCCTTTTGGGTATGTTAACTGAAGACCACACACAATTTACGGCGGGAAGTGCCAAGCTTACTTCCATATACACGAGCAAGGCTTGAGTCCCTTTCTCTCTCTGCTTGTTTGTTTTTATTTACATTGTCACTTCTACGCTGAAGGCGTTACAAGAGCGATAAGCATAACACCGCAATCACTGCAGCCATGTTCCGATCGACACAACTAGCTACCGTAAATCCTAACGCTAGATGAACAGCTCTAATCGCAGCAACCATCTGGAATAAGATGACAATCGTGATCTTCCGATCTGGACGTACCCTCCAGAAACAGACCCACCTAGGGGAGGGGGGACAGGTCACCAAGAGAGGACCGGCCCAGTCTCGTGGTCAGTGGTCGGCTCGGGATGTCTGACCTCGCTTTGCCCCCAGGCGCCAAGCGCACCAAGGGCTCTGCCTTCCAGACCGTCTCCGCCATGTACCGGGTAAATATCGGACCTGTGTCACTCTTGACGCTCCGAGGCAAAACGCGGGCCAACCCTGAAGGCGGTCACGAAACATCGAACGACGAGCTGTTCGTCGGTCTCTTGGCGAAATCGGACCAAAGCCGTGTGGGAGTAGCTCGAAAAGTGCTCACGTCAGTGGACGCCGCTGTTGCAAGCTGGCGGAAGCTTCCTAGCTCGAGAGAACTTCTGGCTATATTTAAAGTGAGAGAAAAGCTGAGCTGGCGAAGTCTCTTCCGCCTTCAGGGCACGCATCGCTGCCTCGGGGTGTGCCGTCAGTGGAGGAGCCTATCGGAGTCAGCCAAGGGCGATGCGCTTATCGCATATCGCTTATCGGTAATCGATATCGGTAATCGATATCTGTAATCGATATCTGTAATCGATATCGGTAATCGATATCGGTAATCGATATAGGTAATCGATATGAATGCGATGGCCTGAACATCGCCATTAGCAATCGCCCGAGGCTCGCCCGCAGACTCCTGCACTGACGCGCGTGTCCGTTGTACCCGCACGGAGGGAACGAGGGCCGCGTGTGACGTCACGCCATTCCGGAGGCGGTGTGACGTCACACGCGGGCGCCGCTCCCGCTCCGTCGCACGCGATCCGCCAGTGACGTGTGCGGTGCTGCTCTGTTCAAGGTCGCAAGAAGGGCGGCGGTTTCGCCACCGTGTCCTCGGCGTACAGGGTAGGCTGCAGCTGCCTGCGGTATCCGCCTGGTGTCTGTTTGAGTCTTGTGCACCCACCCGAGTACAAAGCGCCTGCACCGACAGGATCTTCACCCGCCCCCCCCCCCCCCCCCCCCCCACTCCCTCCACTCGTCTGCGCGCGTATTCTGCACACAGTGCACCCTAATCGTCTTCGAATGCGGCCTGAATGCAGAGACTTGCGTTGCACGGCGACGGCACAGCTCCGCTGAGGATCATCCGGGCTTAAAATGGAGTTTGTTTGCCCCTACGGCTCGTATTTGGCAGCAACGCTTAGGATTTGGCACATCAATATGCACAGTCAAAAAAATGTGGGAATAACGCGTTAACTGGTGCCGTTTAACGGCATCGCACTCAAAATGAAGCCACTGTGTGGCTGAGTGATTGCTTCCACCTCCTTACCCTTTTGACCCCAGCGGTAGCTGTGCCGATACATCAACAGGATACAAACATCCAACCCCCGCCACCTCCACCCCCCCCCCCCGGCCCCTCCCACCCCTTGAACGGACATGTTTGAATGCTACCGTTGTGCCCTGCACCCAACATGCGACTGGCGTTGTCGGCCTGCCATTGGACGCTACCCTCGGCCTCACCTCAAGCTAAAAAAAAGTTAAGCCGCTTCGTGCCCAGGTCAAACGTTACTCAATGGAAAGCTTATGGCGCTGTGCCGCTGCTAGACAAGCTTGAAGAAATGTCACATGCACCCACTGTGCACACGATCTCCTCGAGCCGAACGCCGATCACAAACGTGCAAGGCAGAAAGTTTTCAGCGACCCGCGGCACGTGAAGGCTGGCGGCTGAGCTCTTTCAATGATTGAGGTGCGGCCGAGGAAAGCGAATGGAATGTGGAATGTTGAAGAATGCTGCGGCAAAAGCACTGCTGTCTGCTGCTGTGCTGTGCACGCTGTACACAGCAGATTTTTGCTGTCTTCTGTCGTGGCCGATGCACGTCCATCGATGCACGCCCTATTTATCTGTGAGCCGTTCATGCATGTCGTCTCATCAGTCATCCTGAGAGGGCAAGCATCTATGGCATAATAATTCAACGCTTTTAGCGGAAGCAGCTTCTAAAAAGATTTAAAAGCGCAGCCGCTCTCACATTTTTGTGCCAGCCAGCATGCTTTTGGCTAGGCTAACAGGTTGTTCGGTGGTCTTTAAGCCACGAAATAGGATTCATGCGGATTACTGCTGTCGCTTTTGCCATTGCCTTGTCAAGTGATGTTGCCGCCGCTGTGAAGTCGGTGTAATCAGCAGCGGCCTGGCCAGGATTTGGCTCTCGGGGCAAAGATCAAACTGACCACTGAAAGTAAATCGATCGGCATTGAAAGCGACGAAACAATTTTTTAGCATTTTACGTGAACATTGAACGAAAAAATTGTAACGTAGAGCTATGTTTATGAAATTGAAGTAAAGATTGATTACGCACAACATACGCTGTCACAACAAAGAACATTGCCGAGCATAAGAAGACAAGTCCACCGCATGACTTGGCTTCATAGAGCAGTATCGAGACCTCGCCTTCCCTGGCCGCGCCACTGCTGACCTCCGAGCCTCGATGTCGCGCTGGTGGGAGCTGGGAGCTGACGTGCTCGTGAGCAGGAGCTTCAGCGCCACGGACCCCCCGCAGGAGACGGCGTCAGCGGCCTGACCAAGCTGGCCTGCTGACGATGTAGTTCCCACTGCGGACGGACGTCCTGGTAGGCGCAGACGTGACCTCTGTGACCCCCCCCCCCTCTCCGTCACCGCATGACCCTTCGTTCGTCACCCTCCTGCAGGCGAGCCTGGGAGTCTGACCTTGCACCCGTGCCGTCGTCACGCCGTCTCCACAGTCTTGTGCCGGAGGTCGTGACCTGTGACCCAGGGCGTGTGCATCCCAGTACCACGGCCGGCGAGCCGTGGAGGCCCGCACTGTGATCTGGCGTGATGTAGACCCACAGCACCGTGACCTGGCGTTGTATAGTCCCCGCCACCCAGCACGGCGCCTCCCCGTGCTGTGGACCCAGTAGACCCCGGCACGACATCTGGTCCGAGCACGTTCCCTCCCTCTCAGACATCGCTGTCATCAACATCTGTGTGGTCTCTGTAGCTCCCGCCTGGTTGATCCCCCCCCCCCCCCACCCCGTGGCCCAGCCGACCCAGCGTTTGCCGGTCGGCAGACCTTTCGGGGGGCTCGCTGACGGCACGGCCCCAGCGTCGGTCAGGCGTGAGCCTGTCACGTGATCCCAAAGCAGTAATCGCTCGCAGTGAGCGAACACGGCGTGCAGCGTCAGCGTGCCCTGGTTCCATGCTGGGAGTCCCGAATGCCCCCTTCCCCGAGCTCTGCAGCTCCCTCTCCCTCTCTCTTTTTTGCGCCGTGTCACATCCCGCGCCGGAACGTAGCTGGGGCTCGCCAATTCTGAAAAGCCTGCGTCGATCAAGTTCAAATTCGCGAACCAATTGACATAAAACAAGATAAGTTCGGCAACGCTCGGTGCAGACCTGCTCACCAAAGCGAAACTGAGCTCGTGGTTCAATATTTGCGACGTCTTCGGCGGGAAGGGCGAGCCGAGTGCCGGTGCGGGCTGCCGGCGGGGTGTAGATGGCAGCACTGACGCACTCCACTCCCTCCCTAGGAGCAGCTTAACAATCTGATGACCACCCTGCGCTCCACCCAGCCCCACTTCATTCGCTGTATCATTCCCAACGAGCTGAAAGCCGCTGGTAAGGCCCCACCTGCGACCCTTTGTGACCCGTCTGACCCCGTCGTGACCCGTGTGACCCCAGAGTAACCCTGTAGTATAACCAGGTGTGAACACCGTGCGCATGAACGTGGCTCCATAGCGCTGTCCGATGTGCATACTGCGTGCAGAGGATGTGACAAGTCGTGACGTCTGTTTGAGTTTAGTCTGTGACTGCACGCTGCCCGAAATGACCCACATACGACCCCATCACATACCTCGTGTAACCCTGCGTGTGACCCGAGGGTAGATGTAGCTGGTACTTGGTCGTGAAGTCTGGTCGTCCCCTCTGTGTTTGCCCCGGGCATGGAGACACGGCGACCGCTGGCATGCTGTCCGACCGGGTCAACGTCAACCGCCCACGACCACCTCCCCTTGAAGCGGAACACCCTGGTCCCTGTCCGTGGTGATGGCGGCTCCCGCCCACAGACCGGGCTTGGCCCATCGTGTTCGCATGCCTCTGTCCGGGAATGACCCCTAGTTCCAGCGGCATGTCGCAGCAGAGCGGACAGCGTTCTCCGGGTCCCCCGCACCCGTCTGCACCCCCAACTCTGCCCCGAGCGGCGGGCAGAGCGTAGGAGGCTGGTGCAGTCCCCCGTCCGCCCGCTGACCGTGCCTGTGGCGGCAGGAGCAACTTAACAACCTGATGGTGACGCTGCGGGCCACCCAGCCGCACTTCATCCGCTGCATCATCCCCAACGAGACCAAGTCGGCCGGTGAGCATGCGCCCGCGAGGCAGATCCACCAGGACACGGCCGACTGCGGCCTCCGAACACGGCCGACCACGGCCCCACCAGAACACGGCCATTAGGGCCTCCGAACACGGCCGACTGCGGCCCCACCAGAACACGGCCGCTAAGGCCTCCGAACACGGCCGACTACGGGCTCCGAACACGCCCTCTAGGCTGAGTTAAATTTGACCGCTCGGGCGCCGCCTGCTGGTGTCAGTTGTCATGGTACTGGGCTCTTTCAGTTAACTCCATGGTCGAATCGCCAGGCTCTTTCGTTTTCACGATGAATTTGCGCCGTTGCTAATGCTGGTAAAAACACATTTGCTTTTCTCCTCGCAGTGGTTGCCTGGAGTTTAATACAACCTCGCTTTCAAATGACTTTCACCATGCTTTCCCCACGGCAGCACCAGCAAAGAGCGAATTTTATCATCATGCCCGTGCTGTGAAATTTTCAGTGCTACGGTAATGGCCCTGCTAAATTATTTTTCGGGCTGTATGAACCGATTTCAAAGGGAAGGTTGCCACCTTGCGCTTCTGTCTTGGGTTCGCAACGCCAAAGTGCAGCGATCTGATGTACTCCTGTGGTACCTGGTGGTACTTGCTAGTGATACTTGTCTGCGATCATGGCCAACAGTTATCGTAAAGATAACATTGCAAAGATCAAGCTGAGAAGAAGGAAGACTGCAAATGAACTGGGAAGATTGACACTTGTCTTTGCTTATTCAAGTAAACATTAAGCTGTGATAAATTTTGGTTAATTCTTGTAGCTTAATTCACAGTTATGGGCTGAAAGTTCTTATTTTAAGTTAGCGATCTTTAATATGCCGGGAGGTGCTGGTTAAGCGACGTTGTAATGCTAAGGAACGATAACACTCATGGCTTATAATATCATACCGTCGATATAATCATACCCAACCGTACCGCATCTTGTCGTATACCGTATAACCGTACCAATGCCGCCAATATGAGCGTTATGTAGCATTTTCATGTCATTTAACCACATCTCCTGGTATACTGAAGATCATTAGCGTAACAAGAGAAATTTCAGCACATAATGCCGAGAAACCAAGGGATGAAAGCCTTCCTTTGCTATCTTAGGCAATATTTATCTTTGTTTAGACTTACACCTGAAATTGCTATGGCACAAGCATCAGTGGCGGTATTGCTAGCGTAGAAACAAGTAAAATGACTTTCAGGTAATTTATTAGCAAAATAATGACCGCATCCTATTGTAAGAATGAGGGCAATGCTTATTGCTTCCGAGGGCAAGAATTGACGAAGTCCACAGACGCCCAGGGGTCGCTGCGAGCCCCAAACTTCACCTGGAGCTCCTGGAGCACCGGTGTTCCAGTACAGCGCCAGTTGCTTCACCACGAATATGCCTGCAAGGGTCGTCTGATACTCTGCATATGTTTGTGATGTCTGGTTTGATATACCTGCATGCTGCATGTACAAGAGATATCAATATACCGCATAGGTACCCCATAATATACTTCAGAAGAAAAGGAGGCAATTGCATCGTTTATGCCTTCAAGTGACAACGTACTCAGCTTCATATTTATTGGGTCATTGTTGGTCTATCCTGGATTAATCTTCTATCCAAATGTTTATGTTAAAAACCATCGAAATGCATGACAATTCATACAACGGCATACCAATTGAGTTCTTGTAGATTGGGCATTGCCCGTGTCATTTGTTTGCGGTTCCTCGCACCGATGCTTTACATCTGGTGTGGAGAAGCCCCGGTCGATCAAGATCGGCTCGGGTGCTGACGGACGCGCGGTGTGCATCACCAGGCGTCATCGACTCCCACCTGGTGATGCATCAGCTCACCTGCAACGGCGTGCTGGAAGGCATCCGTATCTGTCGCAAGGGCTTCCCCAACCGCATGGTCTACGCCGACTTCAAGCACCGGTAGGTGTGGACCACACCGCTCGCCGTGTGGGATTTTTCGCGACCAGCGCCGACTACGAACTGCGACACACGTTTGGTGTCGCTGGGGGACTAGGTCTGGCTGGGGTATGCGATTCCACTGATAAAACTGCACTGAGTTGGTGGCATTTCGTGCTAGTGGTAGCACATTTGCTGTTTGAAACGGGGATGATTTATTTATGATCTAGGAAATATTTTGGGGGGTTTATGCATTTTCTAAATAGGTAACCAACAGTCGTTTGGGGTTTATGTGTTTTCTAGACAGGTAGCCAACAGGCTTGGTGGTTTACCTTAAGTACGTTATGATGTAGCTTTGTTTGAGCATGCTGTAGCTTCAGGTGAATATTTTTTATTGTGACATATTAACCAATTCGGCACGGGGCACAATCATTTTGGGTTACTATACCCATTTAACTTGATTCATTCGTGACTCTTAAATTATCATATGCGCATGCCCTGTTACGATTTTCTGTAAAAATTAACATGTCCCGATGTATTTGCTTTTCCCGTTCAGCTGCCGTACATTTGAGGTCTGTGCATGAGGTAGACAACCTCTTGACAGGAATCGTCTTGCTGTGTGTGTGTGTGTGTGTGCGAATGGACACTGCTGCAAAATGGTGTTCGAGGAATGTACCTTGTTTTCGTGGTTGGGCCAGTTTAGGTCCTGGGATCAGATGATTTACATGGTTTACATGATCACATGGCTCACACCGAGCGAGATAGATTTACACTGAGCGAGGATAGTTTTGCACCGAGTGGGATAGTATCACACCGAGTGAGGTAGTTTTTCACGGAGTGATATGGTTTTACACCGAGTAAGATTGTTCGGTGCCTCATGTGTGATCCTCTTTAATTGTTCTGTGATGCCCGCGGGCACTGGCTAGCTTCAACGACCGAAATGTGGCCCCCGCGCGTGATCGGTGACGTCACGTCGGTTCCGTATTGGTCCATAAGCTCTGGTCCCTAACACTCTGTGACTCCCCCCGCGATGTGGCCAGTGTCCCTCAGGATCCGCCCGGCCGTCGACGCTGCCGCCACGGAGTGTAACAGTGACTCTGACCCCATGTCTAAACCTTCGACGACCCCGTGCGTGACCTCCGTGACCCCTGTGCTCCCAAGCTACACGATCCTGGCGCCGAAACAGATGAAGGCGCTCAGTGATGACAAGGAGGCCACCGAAAAGTGCCTGGAGGTCATTGATCTGGAACACGAAAAGTACCGAATCGGTCACACCAAGGCACGTGCCGGGCTGACTCCCAGCTGGCGCCAGCGTCCAGCGGGAGTCGCCGGAATGGCATGCGCTGCGTGCAACCCACACCCCTGACAGACTCTGGTCCCCCAGCGGAGAGGCTGGCCCGTGTCCGTGCCAACCACCCGTACTCGCCGCTTCGACGATGGAAAACGGGCATGGCCGCTTTACTACCGGGCCATTTAAAGTCGTTATGTTAATCTGCCATTGCTCCTCCATTCCTCTGAAAAGGAAAAGTGACAGGGATATCATGCGTTTCCAAGTGTGGAGGGGCGTGTGTGTAGGTCGTTGGCACGGACACGGTACCAGCGCGTGCGGAGCCGAAACGATCGCACCGGCGTTGTCTGCCTCTCCTCCTGGACTCCTGTGGCACCTGCATCTTGCCATGAATTCGAGTGACCCTAGAGTGGCATATGTTGCACAGAGTTGAGTGGAAGTGCCCCTGCATCCGGATGTGAACAAGAATGACCCCTGCATCTGAATGCGCCCCAGAGTGTCCCTGCATCTTGCCCTGAGCCCGGTCGAACCCTGGGTGATCCCTGTGATACACCCTGTTCGAGAGTGACCTCTGTGTTTGACGTTGACTGCACTGAGCCCTGCATCTGGAGACACCCGAGCGGATGACTGCAACTCCGCCCTCCCCACCACCGTCTAGAGCGTGACCCCCCTCCCCCTGCCTGCCTCAGCTGCCCCCCACCCCAACCCCACCACAACCCACCCCTTGATAAGACTGGTTTACCCCTGTATGGCATGCAGCAGGCCGGGGAACGGCTCATGCGAGGTGTAGTTTGCTTTCCTCCCCGCCCTCCCGCTTTTGGGGGACGCAGCTGTCATCCACATCATTCACGCACTGATCGGGTGCCCTCCGATGCCTATAGCTACACCATCTTGTGCACGAAGAAGGTCAAGGGCAAAGAGGACAAGGAGGCAGCCGAAATCATCCTGGAAGAGATAGACCTGAACAGGGAGCTTTTTAGATTCGGTCACACCAAGGCATGTTTGCTTCAGTCTGTCCCGTCACAGTCCGTGCGCGAACACACGTTTGCACTCTCACGGACAACCGCAGAAGCGATCACCGCTTGGCCAGATCTGGACGTGGTTTCTCTGTGTTGATCTGCCCGGTAGTAGGTTATTTGTCATAGAGAGTGGTTTGGGTGTTCTCGTGACGTCTGTCCGTCCGTCTGTCGAGTCCTCCCCGAGACGGAGAGACACCTAAATAGAAACGTAGGCTCCGCAAACTGGAGACGTTGGACGAATTATGCATCTAACGAGTATGACGTTTAATGATCTGACGATCCGATTGCTAGTGACCCGGTGGGTTTTCTTCCCCTCCCAGCATGCCCACGTTGTGCCAGTCCCAATCAGGACAAACTCCTGGATGACAGCATCACAGACCTGGCAGCGCCTGCAATCTGGCAACATACCAAATCTGGCAACCGCCAGATCTGGAAGCAGACCTGCCGCCTCCGCATCTGCCTGACTTTGTGTGTGTATGCGTTTTGGCACCAGCTGCGACCTGTGGTGCCAGCTGGGATCCAACTCCACGCCCTCAAACACCACGTTAACACAGCACCCCGTTTCGCATAGCTACCGCATTCTGGACCCGAAGAGAGTGACTGACAAGACGGACCCTCGTCAGTCTGCCGAGTTCATTATGACCGACCTGCCCCAGTTCGAGAACCTTTATAGATTTGGTCACACCAAGGTAGATGACGGCCAAGTGGCTGTACCTCTCGCTGCGTGTGCGTTCCATCCGCTTGTCATTAATCGGGCCCGGGCTGGAGCGGGAGGACACGGCGCATGCGCATGTCGGGAATGACGGAACACCGACTTGAAGCAGGCCGCTGCTGTCATGACCACAGCCTCTCAGTTTCAACTTCCCGCGTGGTCTGATCTGCAATACCATGGGTCTCTCCGCTGCACATGCAGATACTTCCAGCACTTCTACCCCCCCCCCCCCCCTCCCCCCACTCCACTGCACGCCCCATTTACTTCTCGTTGTACCATCCCCTGAAGGATCGTGCCACTAACTTTTGACACATCGGGACAAGTGCGGGGGCATGTGTCTGCATGTGCCCCACCCCAGTGTTACAGCTGCACGTGTGTCTACACAATGTCCAAACGACAGGACACTGCTCCGTGCCCCCCCCCCCCCGCCGCTCAACCAGCATGCGTCCGGCAGCAGTCACGTTTCCGGACGAAATATCGCCCGCATGGTCTCCCCCGCATCAAAAAAGCACTTGTCTGCATCCGAGACTGTGTGTTTGTGTGTGGTCGAGGCACAGCATGTCCAGCCATCACCGGTATGTCCGGCTGTTAGCATCTGGCATCATCTGGCAAACCTGGCAACAGCCGTGCCGACGGTGGCCTGGCTGGCAACACCTGGCATTATCTGGCAAACCTGGCAACAGCCGTGCTGACGGTGGCCTGACTGGCAACACCCGAAGCTGTCCCGCCCCCGCACAGAGTCCCGCATGGCCCTGACATGATCGGTCATCCCTAGCTACCGCATTCTGTTCGTCGACGGTATCCCTGACAAAATGGACCCGCGCGAGGCGACAGAGAAAGTCATGAACAGCCTGCCGCAGTTTGAGGACCTGTATAGATTTGGACTCACCAAGGTATCGCCGTCGCGGAGACTTCTGCCGATGGCCTGCCGCAGCTTTACGGAATCAGTGCTGAAAGCTTGTGCTTATAAAAAGTGCGCAGAGCTGATTTTTGGGCATTTCACGCATGGAGACCTTGCTTGATCGCGATCAATTGTTGTCGGCAGCTGCAGCAAGCTTGGCTAAATCAATGCGTTGTAATTCAGAAGTGGTCCTCGAAATACCAAAGAAACAAGAGGTTGAGAAGCTTGCGAAAGCAACCACACTAATGCTCCTTTCAAGACCTGAACAATAATCCAGTACAATGATGTGGTTCTTGTTTTATGTTACGCTTTGTCGCCAGCTGATGCCGCTTGCCACCCGAATTGTTGCGTCTTTCTTGACCTTGGATTTCATGGGCGCTTAACCTCTCTAGCCTAGCTTTTGCCTGGAATGACAGAACGAATCGTGTCAGAGGAGCCGTAAAACGTTGTAAACAGCAATTCATCTGAAATTTGTTAGAACTGCAACAAAAATGGCGTATCTACAAGCCTTAATCAGAATCATTTAAGAACTTTAGCACGCACAAAAATGGCATCCAATAAGCAATTGCACCCAGTGCCGCACCTTGTTTTCCGCTGTCTACTAACACCACAACAACGCAACACCACAGGCTCGTGGTAAGTGTTTCAAAGCCATTCACCAAGACGTACTTCATGTATTTGTCATTCACTTGTAATGCCAGTAATTGCTTTGTTCCTTGGCTTCCCCACATGTTAAGATATTGGTTCCAAATAAGAATAATACATTTTTACGTTAAGGCCTTATAGGTCATGTCTGCACAATTTGCTGGTGCAAAAACCACTTTACATAACGAGCGGTACTCTAAGCCCAACTGACTCCTGCTATCCTGGTTGTAGGATCATGGTGTCAGTGGTACCGAGGTTCCCCCACCTGACCTCACATGACATGTTTTGACCTTACTTTGAATGGCCTGACCTGATCCAGTCCAACCCGTCCTGCTTCATTGATCTAGTGTCCCCTGACCTATTACAAGCGGTTTTAGCTTTGGACTCCTACCTACCTTTTATCCGATGCAACTTGCTCTCTTCACCTGACCTGATGCTTTCCTTCACCTGACCTGACCTGACGTGACCTGACGCCGAGCAGGTGTTCTTCCGTGCCGGCGTGCTGGGACAGATGGAGGAGCTGCGCGATGACCGCCTCTCCAAGATCTTCAGTTGGCTGCAGTCCTGGATCCGCGGCTACTTCTCCCGCAAAGAGTTCAAGAAGCTCCAGAAGCAGAGGTCAGTGAGAGGTCAGGTCAGCAGAGGTCAGTCAGGGTTAAGGTCACTAGAGGTCAGTCAGAGGTCAGGTCAGCAGAAGTCAGTCACAACAAAGGTCAGTTCAGGTCAGTCAGAGGTCAGGTCAGCACAAGTGAGTCAGGGGGCGGGTCAGGGGAGGTCAAATGAGATCTGATGGGCAACGTTAACACGTGAGGCTACTAATCGGTGAAAGCCTTAGTGATCTGGATTGATGTTAGGCCGCCAATGATCCCGGTCAAAACTGTGGTGTCATTCGTATAGCTTCCCGACGGTCAGGGAAAGTACTTGAGCAACTTTAAGATGTGCATTGCTTGCCCCGGTCATGTTTATTCTTCCTAGCTGTGTACTCTCACACCCTGGCGACTGGGCATTCGCGTCACTCCCCATGCAACGCCGGAGATGCTCGGACACGACCAAGCGTGATCAGCCATCCCGCGCGCTGCATGGGGATTCCGCGTCGTCAGTGATGACTGCAGCTGTCTTGCTCTTCCTCACCACTGCGTTGAGCTGGGTGATAACGACGACCTCGGGGCGTGATGATGGTGGTCCTTCTGGTAGGCTGGCGCTCCAGGTGGTACAGCGCAACCTGCGCAAGTACATGCAGCTGCGCAACTGGATGTGGTTCAAGCTGTGGCAGAAGATCAAGCCCATGCTCAACGTCAGCCGTATCGAGGATGAGATGCGGGTATGAGAGGGGGTTGCGAAGTGGGGTCATGAGGAAGGACGAGGTGAACGGTGTGGTGAAGTCACTCATGTTTGAAAATTGGAATATAATAACATGCGGTATAATAATGTCAATTTCAAGCGAAGATGAATATTTAAGGGCAAAAAAATGAGGTGAAAAGGAGATAGCTAACAGAACTAGTTGAAAAATGAAGGTGCATAATGAGAAAGCTGGCAGTCGTGATCTACAGTAATAAGTGGCACGAACTGAAACAGATAGGACGAGCGAGTGCAAACACACCATTAAGTTGTCTCTTAGATACAACCATAGCGTTCCAGTTACACCCGTCCCTGGAAGAGTCTGGACCTGCCTACTGCTGCGTGCTGTTACTGCACGTTTTGGACATCCGTTCTCTGTGACAACACTAGCTGCTCATAACTCGTCCGCCAACGCTTCTTTCAGGCGCTCGAGGCGAAGGCCGACAAGGCGACCGCCTCTCAGGAGAAGGAGTCGAAGCTGCGCAAGCAGCTGGACGACCAGAATCAGAAGCTCAACAACGAAAAGAACGAGCTGCTGGCTGCGCTCGAAGCCGAGAAGGGCTCCCTTAGCGAGTACCACGCTAAGCAGCAGAAGCTGATGGCGCAGAAGAAGTCGCTGGAGAAACAGCTGGCGGTGAGGGCGCCGGCCTGGGAAGACCGGAGCCTAGTGGTTGTGTGGGCTTCACTCATATGTGATGTTGAGAACAGTCGTTTCCTTTCAGTATTTCACGAGTGTAGATTTCGGCTGTCGTCGCACGTTTTAATTGCATGCTCAAAATGGCAAATGTGATACATCTTTTCAAGATGTCTGGCTGCACCACGTTTTAGCAATTTTTCCCGCTGATTTTTTATTTTACCGCTTAAGCAAAATCACTCAGTTTGTAGCGCATTTGGGTGTCCGCACAACTGCATATCTTTACGGTGCCGTCAGACCAGTCATAAGTTCACCAACCACTTGGCATCGTGGCACCTCGTGCCCCCCGCTGGTCAGCGAGGTACCGTTTGTCCCGTCCCCGGTGTGGCTGCGGATTCCCAGACATTTGCCACTTGACATGTGACCTCGGACATGTGACCTCTGACATGTGATCTGTGCGACCGCAGGAGACGTCCGACCGTCTGGCCGAGGAGGAGGAGGCCCGCGAGAGCTTGATGCAGGCCAAGAAGAAGATGGAGCAGGAGCTGAACCACATCAAGAAGGATTTGGAGGACCTGGAGCTGACCATCCAGAAGGGCGAGCAGGACAAGGCCACGAAGGATCACCAGATCCGCAACCTCAACGACGAGATCGCCCACCAGCAAGAGCTCATCGCCAAGCTGAACAAGGAGAAGAAGCAGCTGCAGGTGCGTCGCTGGTGGTGGTGGGGATGTGGTCATGCCAGCCTGGTCTTGCAGACTTGTATATGCGCTGAAACATGCAACGATGGTGAGGAAACTATGGCCGCACCGATTGCGGGAGAGAACGCCCGGACAGCAGGGCCTCACCGTCGTGGCAAGGAAACACCCAATGCACGCGATGCTTGGCATCGCATGCATCTGTGGGCGCATCTTGCATCTCGGCATGCTACAAATTCGCAATGAGAGTGAGACGTGTTTATCATCGGAACGTGCCAAGAGATGGCTCATACCGCGTTCGCATGGGCCAGGTTATGGACTTGTCTGATGTGTGGAGGGTGTTTCCGAACCAGTTTAAACAGGCGGATGTCTTGACGCTTGTGTTCGGGCACGGCTTCCTTCCCTCCCGCCGCTGACATCTTCACCTTGTCACCTTGATGTCACCTTCCGCTGACATCTTCACCTTGTCACCTTGATGTCACCTTCCGCTGACATCTTCACCTTGTCACCTTGATGTCACCTTCCGCTGACATCTTCACCTTGTCACCTTGATGTCACCTTCCGCTGACATCTTCGTGATGTCGCTTTCGCAGGACAACCAGCAGAAGACTGCCGAGGACCTGCAGTCGCAGGAGGACCGCGTCAACCACCTCAACAAGGTGAAGGCCAAGCTGGAACGGTCGCTGGACGAGCTGGAGGACTCTGTGGAGCGCGAGAAGAAGCTGCGCGCCGACGTTGAGAAGAACAAGCGGAAGGTGGAGGGTGACCTGAAGCTGACCCAGGAGGCCGTGGCTGACCTGGAGCGCAACAAGAAGGAGCTCGAACAGACCATCGCGCGCAAGGACAAGGAGATTGCCTCGCTGTCCGGTATGTGTGAGGGGGTGGGGTGGGGATGGGTCTTGGGTCGGTTTTGCGGTCCTTTAGCCAGTGATCTTACTTGGAATGACTTGTGATGTGCTTGAGTCATGCTTTGGTCAGCGTTTGACACTGAAATAGATACACCGGACCGTTTAAATCTGATATATTATTAAGCGATCCTTGCATTCTTTTCCGGTTTGTGGTAGCGTTAAGTTCGGATACGCCCATTCCATGGCAAAGAATTGAGTGACTGTTCTAATGGCGTCTCGCCGCAAAATACGAATTTCGTGGGCACAATACGTGCTGCCCGCACGCATGCAAGCACTAGTACTGCAATGCAGTGAATGCTGCACATCGGTGGGGTCGTGATGCTGTTGCCACAATTCACAACACGCGCATGGTCGTGACCGTCGTGAGCATCGACCCGTGCTGCTCTGCGCCACCGCCCTTGCCCCATAACCCTCTGTTTTGAGGCTTAACCTGGCCTAGTTTGGCTTCCTCGCAACACACGGCGTGAAAAATGGCGACGATAATGATCTCAGCAAATCCACGCGCCGCAAGATCATCGAGGCACCCTCGACGGTCCGACCACTTAATCCTTCACGCGTACTGACTTTCCGCTTATCTGAACCACCCCTCCGCCCGCAGCCAAGCTCGAGGACGAACAGTCCCTGGTGAACAAGCTGCACAAGCAGATCAAGGAGCTGCAGGCCCGCATCGAGGAGCTGGAGGAGGAGCTCGAGACGGAGAGGCAGGCGCGCGCCAAGGCCGAGAAGCAGCGCGCCGATCTGGTCAGTGAGGCACCGGCCTGCGCGGGTGGGGACGCCACGCGGGGAGGTGGGGGAGGGATCTGGGCGGCAGTTGGGAGAGCTGGGAAGGGTGACGTTGTTATCACGCGTGGTGGCATGGCAGCCGTAGGTTTAGCCAGGCATCACTATAGCTTGGTGGTGAGGCAGCTGTCAGTAGCACTGTCGGTGTAGCCATGCATGCTGCGAGGTATAAGCCCGTAATTACACCTGACGCGAGCGCATAGCGGGGAGTTGGTGGCTTGTTGACGGTGGCTTGTTGACGGTGGTGGCTTGTTGACGGTGGTTACCTCCTGGGCCTTGGCGTTACAAATTTCTCAAGTCCTCTACGACCTTACTTAATCTGACCCAACCCTCCGTAGCGTGCCCTGACCTCTTGGCCCGTCCCAACGTGACACGGACGCCACGTCCCCGAATAATGTCACGACCGCGCCTTAACCCCGAATGACGTCCCGGCCAGGCCCGCGAGCTGGAGGAGCTTGGCGAGCGCCTGGACGAGGCGGGTGGCGCCACTGCCGCTCAGATCGAGCTCAACAAGAAGAGGGAGGCCGAACTGGCCAAGCTGCGGCGCGACATCGAGGAGCAGGTGTGTACAGCCCTCTCGGCGTTGTGTGGAGGGCCGCGGGGAGCCACGGGACGCGTCACGCGGCAGTCACTGGGGTCGCGACATCTGGGTCACTCGATACCAGGGGTCGGAGCTCATCGTGGTCTTCCATTGCCCGAGTCCTCTGACTGGGCTGGCTGTTCTTTTGGGGGCCCCTGACGTTCCTGTGCATCTTTGTCCCGATTTCTGCTGATCACGGGCTTCTGTCTAAGTCTAGATGAGTGCCGTTACTTTTTTATTTTAACGTTACGTTACGTTTACGTTGCGGTTACGTTTTGATGCGATTAGAAAGCAGCAAGTGTGACGCAAGACTGGGCCAACCGCAGAGTGCGTCAGCAGTCCTTTTCAACTTGCATTGAAGCCTGACGTAGCGTCATGACAGCAGGTCAGGTGTGCGCCCCTTGTGTGTGGCCGAATCCTCACCCCGTTCATGACATCATGATGACGTCACGTCGTCAGAACATCCAAAACGAGTCCGCGCTGGCTGGCCTGCGCAGGCGCCACAATGACGCCATCGGCGAGATGTCCGAGCAGATCGACCAGCTTAACAAGATGAAGGCCAAGTAAGTTGACGATCGCGCCGCGCTGAACCTATCCGACGGGCATTGGCGAAAGGCGGAAAGTCAGTTTCATACTGTTGCGTGTTAAGAAATTGCTCAAACCCCGCTGTCGCCCCACCCCTGTGGACCGTATAATGGAATGGGGCTTGTGCATTTTGGTTCATAGCTTGGCTAGCCCATATTAGGATGTGGGACCCTGCTGTCCCCAAAACTTCACTGACCCCAAATTACTCCTTCGCAAAGCTTCACACACCACAATGGCGTGACGTCACCCGTCTGTGTCTGACGTCAGACAACTAACTCACGTATCAAGCCGCAAATAACGCACTAAGAGGCGTACCACTCACTAACCTCCCCGACGTCTTTCAGGGCCGAGAAGGACCGCGAGTCGTCGGCCGCCGAGGTCATGGACCTCCGATCCGGTCTAGACTTCGCCACCAGCGAGAAGGTAATGGCCAGGGTTCGCGGCCGTTTGCGCTGAACTGGCTGGCACGGGGCGCGCCCTTTTGATGACGTCATTGGCGTTGTCAGACGCTGTGGACAGCCTCTGCTCTATCATGTTATTGATGGCAATGCTCTGAAACCGCGGGTGTTGTAATTGGTCACGAATATCCGCAGCAAGGTTTTCGGCTGAAAACCTGATGAGATAATCTTGCACTTCTCTGATAGTAGCATTGGCTGTGTTAAGTCAGTGGTAGTTCAGTATCTCTCTCGTTAAATTTGGACTATTGTTATATTCTTACTGTTAATGTTACCAATGTTACCATCATCGATAAGGCATCGCTGCGTACATTAGACCCATGCTAAGCTTCAGCCAAGCTCCTCGCGTTTCCGTGATCTTTCTTCATGACGTCACGGCTGGCGTGACGTCACCCGTCTGTGTAACGTCAGGCGGCGGCGGAGAAGATGAACCGGGTGCTGGAGCAGCAGACCTCCGAAGCTAGCAGCAAGCTTGACGAGGCCAACCGAAGCCTCAATGAGTTCGAGGCTGCCAAGAAGAAGCTCACCATGGAGAACGCTGATTTCACGCGCCAGGTGCGTGCGTGCACGGAACAACCGCGGCGACTCGGGGATCTTTTGCTGGGAAGTGCATGTTTGATTGGTAACGAGCGTGGTTTCAAAAGCGATGCTTCGCTGTTTTTCAAAGCCAAATCCATTGCATGAAACAAATTCACCCCATAGCCGAAAAAGTATGCGTTGAAAGGTGTGCAGGTTTCGGTATTTGGTGCTCAGTTGGCTGTTACGCTAGGTGGCAAGTAGGGAACTGTGTTGAGCGATTAGTGAGGCGCTCGCTGATGATGGCGGATATTGAATTGGCGGCTTGGCTGGTCACTGGTTATGGCGCTTCATTTAGGGCTGGTACCTTGAGGGCTGACGTGCGCTGAGCTACGTTTGAGGCGGAGCTGAGCTGTTTGGCTTCTGCTAGTTGTTCATACGAGCTGTTCCACCATCTGAGCGGCTACATTGGGTGCTGCGCAGCCAGCTGAACTCAGCACTGATTTGGGTGCTGTGTCTCGCGCTGTTCCGTGCCGTGCCGGGTGCTGTGTCTCGCGCTGTTCCGTGCCGTGCCGGGTGCTGTGTCTCGCGCTGTTCCGTGCCGTACAGGGTGCTGTGTCTCGCGCTGTTCCGTGCCGTACCGGGTGCTGTGTCTCGCGCTGTTCCGTGCCGTACCGGGTGCTGTGTCTCGCGCTGTTCCGTGCCGTGCCGGATGCTCTGTCTCGCGCTGTTCCGTGCCGTACCGGGTGCTCTGTCTCGCGCTGTTCCGTGCCGTACCGGGTGCTGCGTCTCGCGCTGTTCCGTGCCGTGCCGGATGCTCTGTCTCGCGCTGTTCCGTGCCGTACCGGGTGCTCTGTCTCGCGCTGTTCCGTGCCGTACCGGGTGCTGCGTCTCGCGCTGTTCCGTGCGGTACCGCGTGCCGAGCTCTGACAGAGTCCTGTTGACAGCTGGAGGAGACCGAGCAGCAGATCTCGCAACTCTCCAAGACCAAGGTGTCGCTCACCACTCAGCTGGAGGATACGCGCAAGATGGCCGACGAGGAGTCGCGCGAGAAGTCTGGCATCCTTGGCAAATACCGCAACCTTGAGCACGAGATGGACTGCCTCCGCGAACAGGTCAGCAGTTAATCTATTTAATCAACCATCTTTCGCGCTCACAGGAAGCGCCAAATGTTTTTGACTACAACTAAGGAGATGGCTCCACCGTCGATATAAATGCGTAATTCGTTACGAATTACGTCATTGTTTTTACGCCATTGCTTACGTCATTGTACGCTATTGTTCCACGTCGAAGCTTAATGACGCGGCGATTACCCGAGGCGTAGGCAACACGCCGTTACCAGTAAGTGCATGAAAATATATGACGACGGTGATATGCGATGGGTGACGTCATCCGTGCCTGGGCATGTGGACGTCAGGTGGAGGAGGAAGCCGAGCACAAGGCCGAGCTGCAACGCCAGCTGAGCAAGATCAACGCCGAGGCCCAGATGTGGAAGCAGAAGTACGAGCAGGACGGCCTGGCCAGGTGGGTGTTACGTCACGTCGGCCACTGAGGCGTGTCCTGAACTGGGCTCCGCACTGCGAATCGGCTCGTGAGCAGGATCCCGCTCCGCATTGTGGGGTGAACTGCGGTCGAAATCGTAGAGTGAGCTGCGGTCTGAATTCTTGTCGGAAACGCTCCATTCGCCGTTGCTTAAAGCAACTCGACACGGCCTTCTGCTCCATAGCCACAGAATTTTTGAGCTAAACCGTAAATGCTGTCTGACACAGTGTCCTAACTGCCCAGAGCTGACGCTTGTCTAAGCAGCGTTCCCCGGTTTTCCTCTGAACCCCTCCCCCATCTGCACCCAGGGTGGAGGAGCTGGAGGAGCAGCGCGGCAAGCTGGCCAACCGCCTGCAGGAGGCCGAGGAGCAGCTGGAGTCGCTCAACACCAAGAACAACCAGCTGGAGAAGCTGAAGTCGCGGCTGGCTGGCGAGCTGGAGGACATGCACATGGAAGTGGACCGCGCCCAGCAGCTGGCGCTGGCCATGGAGAAGAAGGCCCGCAACTTCGACAAGGTGACACGGCCTGGAAGGCAGACATGCCAGCATGGGCTGGCGGACGGCAGGCAGCTTACGAGGCCTTTCCTCTTACGGGACATAGGGCGGACTCGCCGTTAGCGTTGAGGTACAGTGTGTTAACTGGTGCGGTGAATAGGGGAAGAAAGGGAGGCTGAGGGATTTTTTGCCGCATCTAGCCCTGGACAGTCGATCTTTTGCATAGGTTTTGATTGGTGTTTGGATAGTTTGCTTATCTTGCGCTTATGAGGCTTAGCCACCCCCACCTATCTGTTTCCACTTTCGATATCACGAACAAACGCTACTCGCACAAAGCAGCAAAATATACCGCTCTTACATCAAGATGCACTCGCTCTAATCGCTCTTACATCAAGATGCATCCAGCACTCAACGCTCCAGTCGCCTACTTGCTGACGCTCTCGCGGGGGACGCCGCCGCGCTTCTTCTCTTAGAGTGACTGTCTAGTCAGCATTGGGACTCCGGTGTCCTTCCTTGGTGGTGCTGGCCGTGGGTGGCCTTGCGCTACGCAGGTCTACCTGTGCTGAACCACCCCTCCCTCTGTGGTGCCGAGCCGGAGACGCTGACTGACGCCCTCTGCCCGACACCGCAGGTGGTGTCCGAGTGGAAGATGAAGGTGGAGGACCTGTCTGCCGAGCTGGACGCCTCACAGAAGGAGTGCCGCAACTACAGCACCGAGCTCTTCCGCGTCAAGGCTGCCTACGAGGAGTCGCAGGAGCAGCTCGACTCCATCCGCCGTGAGAACAAGAACCTGGCCGATGAGATCAAGGTGAGAGGACTGAGAACTGGAGTGCTGGAGTCAGGAAACCGGAATATGAAACCGGAATATGAAACCGGAATATGGAAACAGGAATATACATTTATATATATATATATATATACATTTATTTATTTATTTATTTATTTATTTATTTATTTACACATGTGTGAGTGTATATGTATGTATTAACCACTGTAGATAAACATAGTTTCGACAAGGTTTCTAAGATTTTTCCAGGTATTTCATATTCGTCTGCTCAGCTGCTTCAACACCATACTTCATATACCCATCACATTCCCGATCTACTGACCTGACCCGCTCCGCCTGCGCAGGACCTGATGGACCAGATCGGCGAGGGTGGCCGCAACATCCACGAGGCCGAGAAGGCGCGGAAGCGTCTGGAGGTGGAGAAGGAGGAGCTGCAGTCGGCGCTGGAGGAGGCTGAGGGCGCGCTGGAGCAGGAGGAGAACAAGGTGCTCCGCGGCGAGCTGGAGCTGCAGCAGGTCCGCCAGGAGACCGACCGGCGCATTGCCGAGAAGGAGGAGGAGTTCGAGAACACGCGGTAAGCAGCGGTCATTCTCTCGCTCCGCATTCGTTCTTGGGATCAAACTATCAAGGTGTGTACCTTAGCCGTTCTATCGTGATCCACAAGCACGGTTTGGCATGGGCGCCGCCGCCAGCGAGCTCGCCAGGTGTGGACACTAGTGCGGCGATCACGGCGCCGCCCGTCCTCACACTCGCCCTCTGCCCTCCGACAGCAAGACGCACCAGCGCGCGCTCGACTCGATGCAGGCGTCCCTGGAGGCCGAGGCCAAGGGTCGCGCCGAGGCCATGCGTATGAAGAAGAAGCTGGAGCAGGACATCAACGAGCTGGAGATCGCGCTGGACCACGCCAACAAGGCCAACGCCGAGGCGCAGAAGACGATCCGCCGTTACCAGGCCGAGCTCACCGAGACGCAGGCGCGCCTCGAGGAGGAGATCCGGCTGCGCGACGACCTGCGCGAGCAGCTGGGCACCTCGGAGAGACGCGCCAACGCTCTGGGCGCCGAGCTGGAGGAGAGCAGGACTCTCCTGGAGCAGGCCGACCACGGCAGACGACAGGTCAGGCGCCGGGCATTGGAGGGGTGACGGAGTGGGCAGGGGACTAGCGGAAGGTCAAGGCGGCACCGAGGAGGGCGGCCCAGCCGGGAAGTCGGGGTGAACTGGGAACGTCAGACCACAGGGCATCAATAGCATGTGAGGGATGTAATGAGAAGATACGAGTGGGCAACATAGTGTCATTGCAATTTATGGAAGGTTAGGAAGATGGTCTTGGGAGGTCAGATGGATCAATCGTTATGGCTGTTGACTGTTTGCATTCCCCTGCAATCAGCGGAGTTGCAACATCGATTTGGACTGTGCGGCGCATCGAAAGGAAACTTGACGAACCGATCACAACCGACATGATATAACCAGCTTAGCTCAAGTCGTGGACACAGCCGCTTACACGGCACTCAGTTTTCAGCTGCACATTTGTACCCTCCACTCCGCCACTCTGGAGTCCCACACCATTACCACACAGTGCCACACAGGAACGGTCCACTGTCTGCTGACATTGACGCCACGTGCCCTGTGCGACAGGCCGAGCTGGACCTGGCCGAGAACCAGGACGCGCTCGCCGAGATGCAGGCCAACTATACGGCGGCCAGCATCGCGAAGCGGAAGCTGGAGGGAGAGGTGCAGTCGCTGCACGCCGACTTGGATGAGATGCTCAACGAGGCCAAGAACTCCGAGGAGAAGGCCAAGAAGGCCATGGTGGATGCCGCCAGGTGGGTGGACGGGGCGGGTCAGGGTGGACCGGATATGCGAGGGCGCACAGAGGAGGCCGGTGTGGACGGAGAGGTTACGGTGGACAGGGTATTCCAGGGTGGACTGGGGAGGTTAAAGTTCAGGAGGGGTCAGGGTGATAGCGTATGCCAGGGCGAAGAGAGAGAGAGCTTAGGTGGACAGGGGTAGTCAGGGTGGCAAGGGAGATCAGAGCGGACAGGGAAACGCAGACTGAGAAGAGGAACTCAGATCGGACGGGGGGATTCGGACTAAGCAGGGAAGCTCAGACCAGGTATGAGAGCGCTGACTGGGCCGGGTAGATCAGGGTAGACGGTGGGAAGGCCAGGACGAGCATAGAATATCACAGCAAGGGATCTGTATAGCATCCTAATCATGGCCACACCTTTTCCTAAAAATGCAATGCGACCTGGGAGCTGACCACATGCCGGCACGTTACGTCACGTCACGACACGTGACGACCTGTTACGTCACCGCAGGCTGGCTGACGAACTACGTGCTGAGCAGGAGCACTCCATGTCGCAGGCCAAGCTGTGCAAGTCCCTCGAGCTGCAAATCAAGGATCTCCAGGTGGGCTCATCTGCTGTTTTGTGACATCATGATTTTATACGCGACGTCACTGTGGGCTGATTTTACCAGATATACCTGTAGCATCATAGGTACAGCCTTGGCGTTATTTTTCAGTCGGTGCGACGTCCAAGTTTGGCTGTACCGGCAATCACTAGCGCCTGTTGGCGTTTACAGGTGAATGGCTTCCAGAAGATGTCTGGAGCCCAGACAAAACCAAACGTCACGAAGTGATGAAGCCCACTGACGGCACACATGTTTGCAGTCATTTGTTTGTTTTTCATGCCTGAACCTGATCCGTCCACATGTTAATTTCCTGACGGTACAGTTGCTTCGTTCACTTCACCCAGCCTGGTCACGTGACCTATTTGACCTGCGCCCACCTCCGGCAGGCCCGCGTGGAGGACGCAGAGCAGAACGCCATCAAGGCCAGCCGCAAGATCATCGCCAAGCTGGAGGACCGCGTGAGGACGGTCGAGCAGGACCTGGACACGGAGCAGCGGCGTCACAGCGAGGCGCAGAAGAACCTGCGCAAGACCGAGCGGCGCATCAAGGAGCTCAGCTTCCAGGTCAGTCCGCTGGAACAGCTTGGGACCGCCTGCCGTGACGTCACGTTGTCGCCTAAGCACACCACAGTCGATCTCAGGGATAGTGTTGTGCAGTCCCGCGCTCCACAACCCATTCGGATTGCTCGCAGTCACCAGGACTTGCCACCGGGTTTCCCACTGTCACCAGGACTGCCCGTAGGGTTGCCCACCGCCACCAGGACGGCCCATAGGGTTGCCCACCGCCACCAGGACGGCCCATAGGGTTGCCCACCGCCACCAGGACTGGCTCTATAGGGTTGTCCACCGCCACCAGGACGGCCCATAGGGTTGCCCGCCGCCACCAGGACTGCCCATAGGGTTGTCCACCGTCCCCAGAGCTAGCCACCGCGCCACCCGCCTCCCTTCGCTCTTGTTCGCTGCTCTCCTCTTCCCTGCCCGCTCAGAGCTCTGGCTGACGCCGCGCTCGGCTTCGCAGACGGAGGAGGACAAGAAGAACCACGAGCGCATGCAGGACCTGGTGGACAAGCTGCAGCAGAAGATCAAGACGTACAAGCGGCAGATCGAGGAGGCTGAGGAGATCGCTGCTCTCAACCTGGCCAAGTTCAGGAAGGCGCAGCAGGTGCGAACTCAACCACCGGCTTCACTCAGACTGTCGCAACTCTTGCGCCACTTGTGTGTGACGTCACATCGCATGCGTGCGATTTCAAACGGGATGAGTTTGCAAACAGCAGGTTGGGATCGACGCGCCGGGGCGAGTTAATCAGCAGCACTTGAATACTCGGGACCTTTGTCTGGTCCGAGTCACTGACTCAGACCAGAGTTCACGTTGTACCCTGCAGAGCCTTCTGCCGCTCAGCGGTGTTGCCCTGCAGAGCCTTCTGCCCCTCAGCGATGCTGCAAAAGGTCTGGCCGTGTCATTTGTGGGGGGGCATCGTCTGACTCTGGGGTATGTGCCTGAGCCTGGACCGGCAGGCTTCCGTGCCTGCGCTGACGCCTGCGTTTGCCTCCGCTGTGGTCTGGAGCTCCTGAAGTTTGACCCCGCTGTGGTCTGGAGCTCCTGAAGTCTGACCCCTGGTTTCTGCACTCCTCAGGAGCTGGAGGAGACGGAGGAGCGGTGCGACATGGCCGAGGCAACCCTGGCCAAAATCCGTGCCCGCGGACGGGGCATGTCTCCCGTGCGCGGCGCCAGCCCGGTGCGTCAGATCGCCGATAGGCAGTGAACAGCAGAGCAGCAGTGAACAGACGAGAGTGCCGGATGTGGATGACATGCTTCCCTCATCATTTAAATATTTACGCGTACTTTGTCATTGTAATGATCTTAAACGCACATTGCCGCCAATATCGCGACGTCACCGACTTACGGATGGTTCTGGCACGAAAGGTCGACGCTCACGACTCGACGAGGACCGCCCACGTCATGGTTGACTGACGGCATGGTCGGACCCTGTTCCCAGATGGCGATGTAAGATGCCCGCACACTTCGACGCAGGACTTGCAGGGTCAGCCGTCGAGGTAGGGCTGCAAGAGTGTTCCATCAAGTGGGGTGGAGAGTGTGCCACCCGTCGTCGGGGAATTGCCCAGAATACGTGCTTCACTAGTAGCTTAAGGGAAAGGGTAGCTTCGAATTACAGAAGTGACATTTTCAGAAAGAACGGGTGTATTGTGTGGAAGGTAATGCTTTCTTACCCATGCGTCAATTGCGTGGAAAGAAAAGAAACATCCAGGTACCATATGCTCTATTTAGGTGGTAGATATCTTCACGGGAGAGGATGCGTCCCAGTCACCCCATCGCACGCACATAAAGGTGCAGAGGAACGTCGAAAACGGCGTTGGAAAATATGGCGAACAAGTCCAGACATCGGGCCCTTCCCGGCTGTCCTAAGCAATGGAAATCACATCCGACAGGTCGTTTGCTCCGGGACTCCATTATTTTCGGTTGCCAGGGGTGTAGTTTATTTTTCAGTTGTGGGGGCAGGGCCTGAGCTCCCTGAATTTGAGGCTCACCCCCGCCCTCCAACTTCAGATATAAAGTGGTCAAAATCTGGGGAGAAACCTGTTTTTGGCATATTTTGGGTCCAGGTTGAGGTACATTTCACTATTAAGACTCCCTACCTCTACCCATGTCGGCTGCTAACCCTTTCTGACCGGCACGTGACCCTTTCCAGGTCCCCAGGCAGCCCCCCGCCCTGGAGCAGGCCTCTGCGGCTGACCGACAGACGGACGCGCAGACAGACAGACAATCTCCCGGTCGGCCAGTTGCCGTCGGCTGTCCCAGCCGCCGGCGGTGACTGCGCGGCCGTCAGCCCATCACACCGACAAGATGGCGGCCGCGGCGGACCAGACAAAATGGCGGACGGCCGTCGGCCGGCCGTTCCCCGCGGAGCCGCTCACAGACAGCTGCCGCCCGGTGCAGACGCGCATGCAGACAGCACAAAATGGCGGCGAGCCACGGGCGGCCAGCATGACACTGGAGCAGGAGTCGGCGGCGGATGGTTGGCTGGCGCGGACGCCATGTTGTTTCCGTGACTTCACTTCGCTGAACTTCGTGTTGAATGATGTGCGCAGACGCGAATACATAGCTAAAGGAGCTGTACGTGGAGTTTCGGAGAGTGGGCGACGTAGTTGGACGCTCGGTCACCGCGGAAAGGCGGCTGCTGTGTGCAGCGTGCGCCAATAGGAAACTTTGCTTTGGCGCCGGCCGCGTCATAGAACTGGCGCTGAGCCTATGCCGAGAACTCACTTTTGACCGGGGGTGTATTTTCCTATTCCTTTTTTAAGGAAACGTGACACAAGTCGTCACGACCCGTTTATAGAACGCCAGCGACTGCAATGGCCATATCAGCTGTCAGGAAGCATGGTGCAACCGGGGCTTGAGTCCCTCTCCCCTTCCCTCCCCCCCCCCTCCCCCTCCGTTGGATTCCGAGGATTTACAACACTGTGAGCTGGTGCTGAGATCTGGTGGCGAAACTTCAAAATTAAAGGTAAATCCTGTAATTTTTGTGTTGTTCTAGTTGTTAAGCTCTTTAGAGAACTACCCCAAAAATTTGCACGTGAAATATACACCCCAGTTTAATATTTGAACGGTGCGAATCGATATCGAAAGACTATCGAGAGCATTATTTCACGGCGGCTGTTTTCGTGTGACCGACGCTTGCCGCCCGGTGTTGGCTGCCGCGGCCAATCTCATTCGGTTTGAGGGAAACAGCTACCGCGGCCAACCAGTGATGTTGCCCCTCAGTTCGTCAGTTCACAGGCTCAAAACCCTCTAATGTAATTTGTTTCACTAGCTGATTCTGTAGAAGGATGAGCCCCTCAGGCAAACATGAATTGACCTTATTAATTTCATCTTATTTTGATTCGCCCCATTGAACACTACGGATGTTGATCGCTTTCGGCCAAGGGGCCCCGTAAGTAAAACACTGGGAGTCACAGTGTTTTTCTCGGTCAGGGGCCGAGGGGCCATTCCGTCCTAACGCGGGGTGCTCGCCAGTCATCATGCTGGTGACACGCGAAGGGTCATCACCTGATCATCTGCAGGGCCTTGAGAGGGTTGCGAGCTACCCTGGTCCCTTCCCTGACGCGAGAGGCCATTTGACGGGGGGGGGGGGGGGGGGGTTCGCCCCGGGATCGACACAAGGGCCTTCACTGACGCCAAAAGCTCAAAAAGCTATCACCACAATGCATACAATAATTGCAAACTTCCGTTCGGCTTAGTAGACCCTGAAATGTAATGAAAGGCATGAGGCTCGACAATGGCCCCTGACTGACACAGGGCCCTTCCATTATTTCACTGTGGATTTATCGTAAGTTGTCATGTCTCCCCTCATTGTCATAGGAACCCGACCAACGCAAGAGGCTTTCGCACATCCGGGTCCCATCCGTGCCTCTGTTCAGTAAATGCTCCCTTGGCCGACTCGGGGCCTCTTGTCGACACATTAACACCTATTGGATACTGCTGGCTTATAACCGACACAAGGGCTTATCATTGTTTCAAGAATTCCATGCAATGCAAATATCAGGCCATCGGCCTTGTCTCTGCTTGGAAAATGGGAGTAAGGGCTCAGACCGACACGGAGCTGGCTGGTCGGTACTCACAGTGCCTGCTCAGGCAGAGGCCCTCACCGACTCAGGGGCCCCGATCGGCGTAAAGGCCCTTTGAGGGCCTCCTGATCGTCGGGACGGAAGGATCCGCGGGACTCCTCTCCGGCTCCCTTGAACATTACCCCTTGTCGAATCAGGTCCCCTTGCCAACGCATGATTCCTGTTAGGTGCTTTGGCCCTCTGACCGACACGAGGGTCTCCTCATTGGCTCAGCAACTACGACCAATCCAAATCGGGGACCACGGCTTTGTCCCTGCTTGAAAAACGTGTTCCCAGACCCAGATCGACACGGAGCCGGCTGTTTGGTACTGGTGAGGGCCTTGCTGACAAAAAGGTCCTCTGACTCAGGAATCCTCTCTCGGCACAGAGGGTCTCTGACAGATATTTTAGGGTAGGCCTCCGGCCAGCGCTATGAGCCCTTCGGGCCCTAAATCGGGCCCTTGGCTGTCAGTTCTGAGGGACTCAAAAGGCCCTTCGAGACTTGAGGGAACCGAGGGGAGGCATGTGCCTCCTGTGCCCTCTTGCCCGCGCCACTGGCATCACCAACTCTCCAATCATTGCCACAACATTGCGCTGGATGTCAAGCATGCCAATTTGTGGGAGAACTGGGCTTGCAGCCTTTAGTCCTAGTGAATACAGAGTGCATTCCTCGCACACCGAACGCATGCATCTTTCACTCTATAGAACTGATTTAACAGATCAACAACTCTGATTTACTTCGTTTCACACGGTAATGGATCTGAAAACTGTCACCTGAGTATAACAACCATTGTCTTCTTTTGTTCTCTGTGCTTTTAACGCATGAGACGGGGTGTTGCTGTAAATTGTTTATATTTCCATCAGAAATATCTACTTATTCAGCGTACATGAACAATGGCATCCTTGCTCCATAGGCATTAGTTGATCCGTTTCCGTCTCCCACTCTCTCCCTCCCTTCTTGCGGCAGTACATGCTGTGCTACGCCACAGGTTGCGCACCCCTCAGTGTAACACATTTTCTGAATGCAGCATATTTTAACAAAGACGTCTGCTGGGACTGGAGACATGTCTCTACCGTAATAAAATTGACTAGCACTCACTGCTGAAGCTCCCGTACCGAGGCTTAAAGGTCGAGGTCGATAATGCCATCTTCAGAGTCTGGAAAGGAAGGGAGACGCATTTCCAAGTTTGATTATTGAGTTTTCCGGTAGTCACCTCACGGATGGCATCGCATGAGTTAGTACCCGACAAGACATTACGAGACGATGCGTCAGTTCGCTGTCATCCCGGCTGGAGCAGAACAGCGCATGCGCTGGAATTAGCGGCTGGACAAAAGAACAACTGCTGACTATCCGGCGCGTGTGCTGCATGAGAATGGCCTGTATATGGTACTCTGGGAGGGAGAGTGGAACAGAGGTGGAAGAGAAGAGAGAGAGAGAAGAGAGAGAGAGAGGAGAGAGAGAAAGAGAGAGAGCGAGAGAGAGAGAAGAGAGAGAAAGCGAGATGACTCATCGTCGAGATAGCGTAGCGATAGGATGTATAGAGCTTCCTCTCTCCTCGCTCTCTCTCTCTCTCCTTGCCTCCCGCTCTCTCCTCTCTCTATCTCCGCGCTCTCTCGCCTTTTCTCGGCGCTCGCTCTCTCTCCTTCCCTCTCTATCGCTCTCACTCTCCTCCTCTCCTCTCCTCTTCTCTCGCCCTCTCTTCTCTCTCTCGTCTCTTTCCTTTCTCCTTCTTCTCCTGCTCCTTCTCTCTCCTGGCTCTCTCTTCTCTCTCTTTCGCTTCTCCCCTTCTCCTCTGCCTTCTCCCCTTTCTCTTCTGTCTCTTTCTTCTTTTTGTCTGGGCTCCACTTTCGCTCACTGTATTATTGCATAGGACACCACGCCATCACTGCATGACTGACCGTCGTCATCGTCGTCGTCATCGTCGCCGAAGAGGCTCATGATCGGGGATCCGTGCAGTCTCGGTGGCCTTGGCTCAGCATCCAGCGTGTGGCCGGCTGACACGTTCAGGGGCGCTGCGGATATCCACCCACGAGGGACAGTCACGCGGCGTTAGCTTCTCAGAAATGCAGCTTCATACTCAGCTCAGTCCGCAAACCAGCGTCACGCCGATGAACGACCGGCAGCGTTGGCACCAGCGCCTAGCTTTCGTTAGTGTTGACTTACGTTACCAGCGCTTAGCATATGTTAGTGTTGATTTACGTTACCAGCGCTTAGCATACGCCAGTGTTGGATTACGTTAACGGCGTTTAGCTTATGTTAGTGTTGACTTACGTTACGAGCGCTTGGCATATGTTAATTTTGAATTGCGTTACCAGCGCTTAGCATACGTCCAGTTTTGCTTACGTTAACGGCGCTTAGCTTAAGTTAGTATTGGCCTACGTTAACGACGCCTAGCTTACGTTAGTATTGGCTTACGCTGGCAGCGCTTGGCTTACACCAACGGCGCACGAGTGTCAGCGTCGGTACACCAGCGTCCAGGTCGCACCAACAGCGCACCAGTGTCAGCGTCTGTACACCAGCGTCCAGGCCACACCAACGGCGCACCAGTGTCAGCGTCGGTACACCAGCGTCCAGGTTACACCAACGGCGCACCAGCGTCAGCGTCGGTACACCAGCGTCCAGGTCGCACCAACGGCGCACCAGTGTCAGCGTCGGTACACCAGCGTCCAGGTCGCACCAACGGCGCACCAGTGTCAGCGTTGGTACACCAGCGTCCAGGCCGCACCAACGGCGCACCAGTGTCAGCGTCGGTACACCAGCGTCCAGGTCACACCAACAGCGGCTCACTCCGCGTCTGTTTCAAGTCATGCATGCTTCGGCTGGTGATGAATGTTGCGAGGGGTTTCATCGCCAAAAACCTTACCGTCGAAGAATGAGCTGATGAAGCGAACGAATAAGTTCGGCTCCATTGCGTGATGCTGTGTGGTCTTCTCAAATGTCACTGAGCCCCCGGGGACGCTGACATGTGTCAAGGATCCCCGATTGGCCTTGTCGTGATCGTATTTCGGTCCGCCGGACTTCTCTGCCGGGTGATGGAAAACTGTGGGCAGTACAAGGCACAGTTTGACATTCTTGACATACCCAGGCTGTAGTTCAAAACGCCTTGGTAGACGACCGTGCTGTTTAAACGAGAACTGGTGGGAGGGGGGAGGACGCCTTCTAATGGTGAAAACGGAAAGGGGAGAGGCCCCAAAGTGATACGAACTATATCCATGTGATCGAACCATACGATATATACATACGAACTATATCCTGATGGGACGCCTGATGTTTTAACTGCACGATTCCGCACACGGTGATCCGTGTCACCCATGCGCCACCCAGCCCGTCGGCCGGCCCGACACACGCCGACGGTACCGGTGGCTGTCAGCCCCTCCCGCGCGTGCGGAAAACGACTTCAGACGGCTACAGTCGCTGGTTAAAAGATAGTAGCGTCCCATACATCAGCCGTCTTCCCCACATCAAATGACATCGATCGTCTCAGCTGCAGAGCACAACATGCGTTTAAAAGAGCAAGACAGATTGAGCCGAATGATGTGGTCCCGGTAGTTTCAGAGATCAACTGCAGGCAGTTGCGCAAACTGCGCAACTGTAAAGCTACTACGGTCTTTGGCATTTGTGTCGACGGTGGGGAAGGTGAAGAGAAGAAATGACTGCTGGGAAGGCCACTCATCGCTCAGAAGACTGCCGAACGTGGCTGACCCCGAGCCCTGGCTGTGACGGATCAGGCAGATTTGGCGAACGCGGCTGTAGGGGCATGCTCCACGGGCTTGACCGAGACGGGTCCGGCTCGCTCAGAGCTCTGATGTGAGGAATTCATGGCCTCAAAATTCTTCATACTGATATTCTTCCTTCATTGTGTGCTTAGGTTTTCATCGAGGTATGAGTCACAGAAGGGAACGATGGCCAGCAATGAACATTTTGATGGAAGGTCGCAGCTCTTTACTGGCCACCTCACGCTTCAGATTAAACGAGCTAATTCAAGCCCTCCCTTTTTGATAGGTATGAACGCTGCGTAATCACTATGCACGTAGAGCCGTCCCTCCAGGCAAAGTTCAGGCTGCTAAGTGGGCCGCAGCTGTCATGTTCGATCTCATTGAATACGGAGGAGAAGGCTGATATCTGAGACGCCTTGGGACGGATATATCAGATCTTTTAAAAGTGACTCA